TACTCGATCAGATAATGAAATCGAATTTACTTGCATAACGTTATTAGTGATCCCCTCACTGCGCACCACACGTTGGCAGCTACTAGTTCTAACGTAGGCAACACCATCCCTATTTAATACGTCAGTACCGATAATAACGGGTACGTTTAAATGATTACTGTCTACAATATAGAAATCAGTTTCCAAAGTTATGTCGCTGAACTCGACGGGTAGCGTAACTAAATATTGAGACTTAACCTCCTTACCGCCTAGGCCGCATAACAACTGAGTAGTAGGCTTCATTTTACATGGAAAGTATTTCACTAGGTTTTCCGACATTAAAGAGACACACGATCCGCTATCTATTAATACATCTAACGGTATCCCAGAAATTACGGCTGTTGTCACATCGCGGTTCTTATAGCTACCCGCTTGTTCACGGCAAAAATTAACACCACTTTTATTTCGTGACTTAGAGCGTTCTTTTGCGAAACAATCGTCCTCTGAGTGACCTGCCTTTTTACAGAATGCACATTTTGAAATATCGCCGCGAGATGTTGACGGTAGTGCAATTGCTTGTTCATCACTGCTAGGAGAATTGGGTGTAATATTATTAGGCCGTTTATAACAATTAGAAAATGTATGACCGAATTGATGGCACCGATAGCATTTAATTCTAACAGTTTTTGTATCTCTAGAATCGTGCTGACGCTTCAACGGACTATGATTATTAAAATGTTTATTTAGCCGATTCGGAGCATTCGAATATACCCTCTTGTTATAATTGTTTGCGTTTGAAGGTTTGACAAAGCTTGATAAAAACTCCACTATCGAGTCAGAAGATAGTTTAGCATTAGTGGCCATAGCACGGATCTGTGGATCTGTAATTCCACGAACAATAATAGCGGTTAGAAGCTCGTCGCTGAGTCCCTTAACTATGCGTAATTTTAAAAGCGATTTACGAGCATACTCAGCATACGTGGAGTATTTATCAGACTCTGTCCGCATTACTTCGTATAGGATGTTCGCGACATCGACAGTACGTGGGCATAGCGACTTTAATTCTAGTTTGAAATTTGACCATGTTCGAACATTACTCGTCCATTGGCTAAGCCAGGTGCGAGCTTCCCCTTTTAAACAATGTCCGACGCGAGCAAGGCATTCTCCGTCGTCCCAACGGTTCAAAATACGAGCTTTTTCCACTTCATCAGACCACGTGTCGAAGTCATGAACACTCGGATCAAAATCTGAGACAAAATAATGGTTGGACCTGACCTGAGCACGGCTTATAGCGGACAAGAGACGCTCTGCAGTGTGTGTCACCATGTCTTCAATTTGGGCTGATTCCATATTGCTAGCGCGTGACGTCAATGTCGGCGTCCCCATTTCTGCGGACACCATCTCACGAGGCGAAGGCGGCGTCTCTGACACCGTGACTGGCACCAACACCGGTGGTGTAGTAACTTGCGTCTCCACATGGGCACGTGACCGGTCCTCCAGTGCGCGCAGTCTCGTCAGGATTTCTTCAATCGGGCTTGGGGAAGAACTTCGCTCACGGCGAGTGATTCTGCGTCTACCACGCTGGGCGTTACCAGACATCATGTAGCTAAACTCCGTCCGAACTTCAGCCCACTAAATTCGGCTGAGGAAAGCTACGATTCGTTTACTAAAGCAGATGTGGCCTCAATAGCTTTTCAGCCTTCGAATCCCACTTCTGATGTAATAAACAGAAACGAGTTTTAGGTTTTTAAAAACAATTTATTGGCCGGCAGGCCTTATTAGACAGTAATAACAAGAGAGAGTTCGGACAGAGCTTCCGCACGCTACAACAGTCGGCGAGATAAGAGAGCGAGCACAGTCAACACTGCTCCTTAAATAGGCGGCCACAGTGTTGCTACTTCGTAGTTTCATTTTCTTCCAACAATATCACAATTCGTGAAGGAAAAAAAAGCGTTTAGAATCTATGTATTTGTTCTTAATTTATTTTTTATTTACGCCTTTAAAGTACATATTACGAAACGTCACACTGCATTATTACATAATATTATTTAATTACTTATGTTAAAGTAATTACCTACTTTTGTGTTTGGCACTTATCATACCTATTTGTGTTACTAAGGGGAATGATTCCCCCAACGAAAGATTATTTTTTTCTAGCATGGCTCCTCAATCTGGTGGTATTTATTGGTGGTAGGACCTCTTGTGAGTCCGCACGGGTAGGTACCACCACTCTGCCTCTTTCTGCCGTGAAGCAGTAATGCGTTTCGGTTTGAAGGGTGGGGCAGCCGTTCTAACTATACTTGAGACCTTAGAACTTATATCTCAAGGTGGGTGGCGCATTTACGTTGTAGATGTCTATGGGCTCCAGTAACCACTTAACACCAGGCTGTGAGCTCGTCCATGCACCTAAGCAATAAAAATAAAAAATCCGTTCTTGGTGCTATGGAGAGACCAAGCTACGATTAATGACGTGTCTATGGGAGAGCCCCAGCTTCTGTCCGAGTACAGCAGGCAACAGGAGAATCCTTTGGTAAAGCTATTGCATATTGCAATATGACATGTATGTATGTCCGATGTCGGGCGACGCTCCTGCGAAGTTATTCATTCGCCTACCGCCAGCTAAGCAAGGTGTGCAATAAATGCCTAATATTATGTCATCAGTATTTTATTGAAGAACCCAACCAATTGTTACTAAATACATAATTATGCAGTTCGCTTGTCGACCTTAGATGTTATTTCATATTTAACAAAAAAAATATGAAAATATTTCATTATCACTAAATAAATATGTATATCTATATTTTCTCGGTCTCCGCGCTTCGTGGACATAATACAAAAGTATTTTTAAGGTATCATGTTTTTACATATACGAGTATTTGATATAGGTAGTTCTTAAAATAAAATATTTATAATATGTACAGCATCTAAGCATTTATTTCGATAAAAATTTCATAGTCACAGAACACTTTGTGCTGACTAGGTTCTTCTACTGTTTCCCTGTATATTACTCGATTTTTACAACTAACATTATCTTGAGGCACTCTTATACTAAATAAATAATTTACACAATTATCGAGAAATTATTGCTAGCTCTTTACATCTCTTTACTCTTTACACGCAGAGAGCATTAAGAAACTGAAAATATTATTAAATCGAGTTATATTTGTTTAAAAACTGTTAACAGATTATTATAGCATTAACAAAAACAAACAATGTAATCATTCAGAATTTAAACCTTAACGTATAAGTAAAAATAACCTTAACACATTTTCGTCAGTACAGATTATTACATCATAATTGACTAAGAGCAATCACGGTGCATACAGAAATGATTGTATTAGATAACATAACGTAACTTTAATAAGACTGCAACTTTTACCGGAACATTTTGTGTTGTAGTAGTCTAACAGCAGAGAAATATAGAAAAATGCCTAATTGATTAATTTTTTTGGCGGCAAAAATTTATAGCATAGTCTGTGCACAGAAGACAACATTTCAACAAAATCTATCTTCGATTGATGGTCTATGCCACGACTACTATACTTTTTTAAATAAAATAAAAAGGGTATATTAAAAATTAGGTACTGATTTCTGAGTATCTTACGAAAATCTCACACAGGTTTTTCGCTTTTAGCAATAAATAAACATGCGTTTTTTAAAGTCAGTATTTTTTAAATTAGTAACAATAAAACATGGTAAACTCTAACTTATTATTAATTTCAAAATACGCATTGAAGTAGTATTAATACTTTTTACGTTCTAAATGCTACAGGCAGTCACTGTCATATTTTTGTTTTAAAATATATACCTACGGCAGTGTCATGCGAATCACACATCTTTCCTTTTTATTATCAAGCCAATCAAAATTAAAGCTTATCATCACCTTAACACGTACTAAGTTTGTAATCTGTAAGAAAATATATTAATCGTAGCCACCATCTTGTCTAGGTTATTATATAACGAATTATATAATAAATGTGCGTGTCAAAGCCTTTTGCCCTGACGCGTGACGACTCACAATTAGGCGTTCCTTGAATATATCTAAAATCAACAGAGCCTGCAACATTTGATACTTAACGATCGCCTTTGTTGTAGACAAAATCGCTCCATTCACGATCAAAGATATTAAAGACATTACATATTTCCGCAGCAATGAAAAAAAACCGTAACCAAGCGTAATTATTATCGAAGACAATGTCCATTGTTCTGGTGATTGCGAATTTCTGATTTAACCTTAATCTATAAGGATCTGTTTGGTTTATTTAGAAAATTGCTTTATGACCTTTTGGTTTTTATATCCTTCGTCCGGAATATACTATTTTTATTTCTCTTTCAAATATGTAAAATTGGAAGTAAATCTGTGTAATTTAGAATTATAGACATTCTTAAATTATTATTATCTTTTTTTTATTATTACACCCCAGACAAGAGTTTAATTTTCTATGGTACTATATTTTATCATATATACATATAAATAAAATTGGAGTGTCTGTTTGTAATATTGAAAGAACCGCCTTTTGCTACATGCATATGAATATACATATACATACACCAAAATAACATTTTTGTCTGTTTGTTCCGGCTAATCTCTGGAACGGCTGGACCGATTTTGACGGGACTTTCACTGATAGGTAGCTGATGATATAAGGACTAACTTAGGTTAACCCCCTGGTCAAAATCATGTTCAAAGATTCCGTTACATACTAACATAGATACTATTACTGGTGCTAGAACCTCTTGAGAGTCCGCGCGGGTAGGTACCACCATCCTGCTTATTTCTGCCGTGAATCAGTAATGCGTTTCGGTTTAAAGGATGGGGGCAGCCATTGTAACTATACCTGAGACCTTAGAACTTATGTATCAAGGTGGGTGGCGCATTTACGTTGTAGATGTCTATGGGCTCCAGTAACCACTTAACACCAGGTGGACTGTGAGCTCGTCCACCCATCTAAGCAATAAAAAAAAAACTAACGTACGTATGAAGCTAATAAAAACGTATTAAAAATAATAAAACAACAAGACTTATTTTAATCAGGTTTATTCTTAAACAAATTATTTACAAAATTTAAACGCAACACAATTTCTTATTTAAATTAGCACAATCTGGTTGTATGTGTTAATTAACTCTTTTCTTTGTCCAATTGCAGGGCAAAGGGAATATAGCCCGTACAGCCAATTTTAACTATGCAAATATTAAAATTATATTTGGACCCTTCACTTCGCAACATCGCAGGGTTATTTAACCAAAAAGATTTAATCAAAAGAATCCTCTGAAGGCCTCTAAAATAACATTCAAAAACACATACGAGACGAACAAGTAATGTCTGCAATAAAATCAAACACGTATTTTTATTGCGCAATTACTGGAAATAAGGCGTATTGTGCTCTCAGCTATTAACTGGATCTCGTAAAAGACGCACAAGCACACAGAACGCCAACAAACAAACAAACAAACAAACACATTCATTTTAAAGTACTAAAAACTATTTATATACATTCTTCGATCCAAACATGAAGCCTTCCCAGATGACTTATTTGTTTTTTTTTATTGTCCTTGTAGGCTGACGAGCATACGGCCCACCTGATAGTGAGTGGTTACCGTCGCCCATGGACATCAGCAATGCTAAGGGCAGAGCCAAGCCGCTGCCTAAATTAAAACATATACATATATATTAAGAAACTAAAAATGCGCGGTCAGTCTGTCTATCTCGTACAAGTCCGACATTATCTCCTCGACTTTTGTACCGATTTTCTTTGCGATCTGTAAACAAATCAAGTCGTTACGCCTCTATATATAAATAATGAATAAAATAAAAATTTTACTGGTGGTAGGACCTCTTGTGAGTCCGCGCGGGTAGGTACCACCGCCCCGCCTATTTCTGCCGTGAAGCAGTAATGCGTTTCGGTTTGAAGGGTGGGGCAGCCGTTGTAACTATACTGAGACCTTAGAACTTATATCTCAAGGTGGGTGGCGCATTTGCGTCGTAGATGTCTATGGGCTCCAGTAACCACTTAACACCAGGTGGGCTGTGTGCTCGTCCACCCATCTAAACAACAAAAATAATAATAATAATACACTTTCAGTTTTATTTGTACAATCAAATCATCTGGCTTTGGTCGCGCGTTCGAGACATCTGTATACATTTGGATGTGTAATTGAGATCACTGCTCGTGAGGTGTTAAGTGGTTTTCTAAGCACTAAATGGCTGTCGCGTATTTTGAAACATAAGCCAAAGTCGTACTGACTAACACACTTCACATTTCAAATAGAGTTGGGGTAATGACGGTACCCACCGATACGATTTCGACTAAAAAATAACATAAAATGATTAATCTCGATTTTTCGTGTGAGTGAACATTTGTTTTAGACACATATACTTAGGTATAATTAGAAAAAAAAAATTGTCTACCCATCTTCCGGTAGCTTCTATGGGCTTATTTGGCTTCACTGCGACTTGTATTAAAAATTCTTTTCTATTCTTTTTTTTTGCCCTTGCAGGCAGACGAGCGTACGGCCCACCTGATTGTGAGTGGTTACCGTCGCCCATGGACTACAGCAATGCCAGGGGCAGAGCCAAGCCGCTGCCTACCGTTATTCTATTAAAAGACTAAAATTAAAAGAGAGATTAAGTTATTAAAAGGACAAATTAAGATTTAAAGTTTCGTTATTACTTTACTAGTGAGAAGATCCGACGAGTGGTTATGGCGTCAATCTGTAAACCACCGATACCTAACAATAATCTGAAAACCAGTTTAAATGTTAAGGGGGGGGGTCATCTCACGTCGTGCTGGTCGGCGCGCGGCATGGCGGCGTACAGCGCCACCAGGTCCCCGTCCAGCACGCCCCGCGCCGCCCCGCCCCCCGCCGCGCGCCGCGACGCCTTGTACGTGCTGTACCGACACCCACGCATTAATTTCATTACCTACTTAATCTCTTTTATTACACCGTTTAATATCTGTGAAAGTGCACAGATGTGGGAAAATGAAACAAAGCCGTTGAACGTAACTTCTCGGGATCCTCCAAAAAGTCCACTGAAAAAATCTCAGTAAATGACCACCATTTTACTAAGATTTCATCCCATATTATTTCATCTCATCTCATTTCATTTAATTTCATCCCAGTTGATTAATGTCTTAAATTAATCACCTTCATTTCATTTCAATCCATGTCATTTTTCATAAAAACAAGAATATAAATAAAAATAGGACATGACTTAAAGGTCTTAGTTACCAGGTCATAAAATCTCTAAAAAAAAAACAAAAAAAATATGTCTATGGACCCCGTTGGCCACCTCACATCAACCACCTGTTCCTAACCACATCGACATACAGGTCATCGGACCTCATCAGGTCGCGGTCCGGCGCCGGAAGACATACCGAAAGGCCCTCGGGTTGAGGCCGGCTATGTGGCAGTAGTAGTTGTTCATGACGTTCTGCAACATCAGCAGGCGCCGGTACATCTTCTCCGTGACCGGCAGCACGTAGCCTATGGCGCCGTCCAGGGTCGCTGCACGAGTAACAAACTTCAAAATTAATTTTGCTTAGATGGGTGGATGAGCTCATTGTTAAGGTTGGCTCACTATAACGTTTTTTATGCTAACCAAATATATTTTAAAACGTTTTTAACATCGCACCGCCCCCCGCCGGAGTAGAGTTCATCCATACTACCTGGAGCCACTGCGGTCATCCACAGTGCGTTTCCAGAGGTCTTTCTTGCCACGTACCATCCGGCTATGGAATGAGCTCCCCTCCACGGTGTTTCCCGAGCGCTATGACATGTCCTTCTTCAAACGAGGCTTGTGGAGAGTACTCAACGGTAGGCAGCGGCTTGGCTCTGCCCCTGGCATTGCTGAAGTCCATGGGCGACGGTAACCACTCACCATCAGGTGGGCCGTACGCTCGTATGTCTGGTAGAGCAATAAAAAAATGTGAGCCGTCACGGGACGCCTGGCAGATGTGAAACATCGACATTATTTTGTAAAAGTAATATGCAGAAAAGAACAGATTGTGATAGGAACTTAATATGTCATAATGATAAAATAAAATATTACGAAAAAATTATTTGTTCTCAAGTAAAACACAGGTTATGTGTACTGTAGTAAACAACACTGTATACACTACGGAGTATACACTATAGGTATCCGAGCTCAATGTAGCGAGAGAGATGGCTTAACGCCGGATCGAGTGGGAGAGAATCGCACAGTCGATTGCGCATGGTGACGCGTCGCCACGGGATGTGTCGCCACGCCAGAAATCGGTTTTACGTGCGGCTATAGATGATTCACATCAAAAATTGTGAACTATTCCACGCGGACAAAGTTGCGAGCAAAAGCTAGTACTTTAATATAACAGGAACAGCTGGCATGTCCAAACCAATAGACTCACTGAACATGCTGACGTGTCTCTTGTGCGAGTTGTCGGAGTCTGGCAGCGAGCGCACGTTGATGCGGAACATGGCGTGCACCTGCTGGCCCAGGTGGTAGTCGCTCTTGCGTATCAGCCGCTGGCCTGGAACAGATGGAGGACAGATAGACGCGAAAACTTTTTTTTCTACCTTTGCTGATAGACTTGATAGGCTATTTCAGCTTCGCCCTAACGTGTAGGTGAGCTCACGGGGCTCAAACCGGAGAGTTGCTAACACTGGCCCTAGCGAGAGCAGTGCTTCGCTGAATCTACCACCGGATCGGAAACGCGACCCACTGAGAAGATCCGGCGAGAAACTCAGTGGGCTGCAATCTATAAATCGACGGTTGAAAGGCAAACGTGGCTAAGCGACAATAACTAAACATGCCCGGAACTAAATAAAAAAACAATTTTGTTTTCCTTTGATGTGTCCCCCCCCCGTCGAAAACATTCCTTTTGTTTATTTTAAGTTTATTTTATACAAAGTTTTAGGTCTTTTATTTATCGATTGAGGCACTACGAAGTCTGCCGGGTCCGCTAGTACGGTTTATTAGTATGTCATCCATCATATCACCATATCATCATCATCATCACCCCACGCTTTTTTTTAAATAAAATATATATTTTTTTTACACTACATATTATCAATTTTAATTTATTAAATTTTATTTTCTATTTTTAGTTGAATTTTATATAAAACGGGTTTTTTAGTTTTTTTAAAGTATTATTTGTTTCTCATGATTTAGTTAAATTTTCCATAAAAGCGTATTTTTAAAACTATTAAATACTTTAACATCAATTCCTGCCTTATCGACTATAGATAAAAATTATATAGATTGGCAAAAATCTTATTTTGCAAACTGAATAATGGAATAATCTTATCAAATTAGTGTATTGCCATCGGTCCTCGATAAATCTACAAAGTTTGAATGAAATCTGGCGGTTTAAAGTGGGTCAAAATCGCGTCTAGAGGAGTCAGTTACAAACATACAAACATACATACAAGTGAAGCTATAATATAAAGCGTGTAAAAAAGGAAGAGAGTGACATCAACAATGTTGCCAGTCATATAATTTTATTTTCCATACTAAAATGTTGGAGTTGCCAACAAACAGATCGGGGGCGGGTGGACGTGGTAACATCGCGCACACAGTGTATCGCGAATAACAACGGTACAGTCGCGGCGACAAGTTCCTCGGACTTTTTGGCGGGAATTTGAGGAGTGAAGTTGTGTGATTTGTTTTATTTTGTCTATTTAGTGTTTCTTCGGGTTTAAATGTGTAATAGCGGTGGTTTATTAACTGTTTAGTATCTATGAAAGTGCACAAACGTGCAAAAGTGCAAATGTGAACGTCGAACCCGCGACCCTGGTCGCCCCATACCTCCGTAGCTCTCCCTGGCCTGCGGCTGGTACATGAACAGCGCGAAGTTCCCCTCGGCTTCGCTGACCAGGAAACCGAGGTTCGTATTATCCACCATGAACTCCATATCGTATATCTGTAACGAAATATACTATATAAGTGAAGCAAAAACTTTGTACCCCTTTTTACGAAAATTGCCCGGATGGAGGAGTATGAAATTTCCCATACTTATAGAGAATATAGAGAAGGAGTGCAAATTGCTAATATTTTTTTAAATAATGCATAAAAGATACATTAAATCAATAAAGAAAGTATTACACACACTACATACCATGTATTTGACGCACACACATATGTATATGTACTCTTTGTTTATTATCAAACTTTAGTTTGTCAAAAACTGTGGTTAAATTGAAAATAGGTTAATATTGTTTATCTTTAATATTATTTGTATTTATAGTGTAGTCTTGGCGAAATCTGTGATTATAGAAGTATAATAAATAGTCTTTGACAATATAACCATAATAATGTTTAAACATAAAATTTCAATTGATTAAAGTCAAATTTCGACTACTGCGGGACCACTGCTTATCATATCTTGCACTGCACTAAAATTCGCATGTCAAATAATGGCAAAGCGTACACGCTGCTTTATTTAATAACTCATTTTCACTATGCTTAGCGAATAACACGATTTCTTTTTTTCTTTCTTTCTTTCTCTCTCTCTCTCTTTCTTTCTTTCTCCACCTGCGCGGTCCTGAAGTCCCTGGAGACCAGCGAGAGCGTCCTGTGCGCGGGCTGGTAGCGCAGCAGCGAGATGGACTTGTAGACGTCGGCCACCAGGATGAGGTTCTTGACGGCCAGCATGCGGTGCACGTATATCTGGGTGTCGATGAACGCGACGCCCACTAGGTCGTTGTCTTTCAACTGCCATATGTATATCTGTTCGATCAATAACTAGCATTAGAATTATATATATATATATGTATATACTAGCAGCCCGCTCCGGCTCCGCTCGGGTCTTTAACAAAAATTTCAACGATTTTTTTATTGCCCTTGTAGGCAGACGAGCATATGGCCCACCTGATGGTGAGTGGTTACCGTCGCCCATGGACTTCAGCAATGCCAGGGGCAGAGCCAAGCCGCTGCCTGCCGCTTAATACTCTCCACAAGCCTCGTTTGAAGAAGGACATGTCATAGCGTTCGGGAAACACCGTGGAGGGGAGCTCATTCCATGGCTCATTCCATAGTTAATAAATACTAGCGGCATACTCCGACTCCGCTCGGATCTTTAACAAAAATTTCAACGATATTTGACATTATTTATTTTTTTAAATAAAAGAACACTCATTGCGGCATAAGTATCATAGTTAGATATATGCTGTCGCGATACTTTTTGTAAATAATAATGTGTTCTACAAAGTTATAGTAAATGATTTTATTCTATCATCAATAGTTTACGCAGGACCCGACATGTAAAGAATTTTTTTGGGTAATTTTTTTACACCTTGGTTTACATTATTGGAGTTTTAGTAAGGATCCCAATTTTTTTTCAACAAAAATTATAGCCTATGTCACTCGGAAATAGTGTAGCTTCCAAACAATGAAAGAATTTTTCAAATCGGTTCAGTAGTTACGGAGCCTATTCAATACAAACAAACAAACTAATTTTTCCTCTTTATAATATTAGTATAGAATTATAGATATATGGCCGGGCGAAGCTAGTCTAAAAAAGTAGCCTAAGTTACTCTTTATCCTCAGCTACCTATGAGTGAAAGTCGAAAGCCTGAGATTCGAACACCGGTGTATCGCTCGACACGTATGCAGCGGACGTCTTATCCTTTAGGCCACGACGACTTCAAAGTAGTGGGTCACTAATTACTAAATATAAAGCATACAGGACTGTGAGTGCCTCTATATTGAGGTACATGTCCTGGACGGTACCTTCTGTCCGACGGCGGATATGAGGTAGCCGAGCACCTGCGTGAGCGCGGTCACCGGACCCTTCTGCTCCTTGGAGTAGATCTCCTTGAAGCGGTTCTTGGTCAGCGGCTGCCCGGGCTCCGGGACCACGTCGATTATGTCGTAGATTATTATCTGTGGAATTAAAGGGGTTTTAGCGGCCGCGGGATTATAGAGCACGCTGTCCGTCTGGTGCAGTGGTCTCAAACTTATTTTGTCTACTACCCACTTTGAGAATTACTGACGGTAGGACATGTTGTGAGTCCGCACGCGTAGGTACCGCCGCCCTGCCTATTTCTGCCGTGAAGCAATAATGCGTTTCAGTTTGAAGGGCGGGGCAGCCGTTGTAACTATACTGAGACCTTACCACTCATATCTCAAAGTGGGTGGCGGCATTTACGTTGTAGATGTTTATGGACTCCGATAACCACTTAACAGTAGGTAGGGCCATTAGCTCGTTCACCTATATAAGCGATAAAAAAAAAATGGGGCCCCTAAGCTTCCAAAACAATAACTTGATTGTGACGAGACTTGGTATATAGTTGTTGGCAACCCAGGTAGAATTTCTGTTAGCATACCACCACTGGATGTTTTTTAAGGGATTTTGAGACCTGGTAACTAAGACCTTTAAGTCATGTATTATTTTAATTTATATTGTTATTTTTATGAAAAATGATGAAATGAAATGAAGATGATTAATTCGAGACTTTAATCAACTGGGATGAAATTAAATGAAATGAGATGAGATGAAATACAATCTCATTAAAATGGTGGTCATTTACTGAGATTTTTTCAGTAGACTTTTTGGAGGATCCCGAGAAGTTACCTCCGGCAGCTTTGTTTCATTTTCCCACATTTGTGCACTTCCACAGATATTAAACAGTTAATAAACCACCGTTATTACACATTTAAACCTGAAGAAACACTAAATAGACAAAATAAAACAAGTAACACAACTTCACTCCTCGCGTTCCCGCCAAAAAGTCACCACTAGATCAAAAAAAATTTATTCAACATAAATGAAAGTACTTACTTGTTGAACGTCAAAAAGAACTACCGCCAATTCACAAAAACTAACCTCCGTCTTGAGAAGGACTGGCAAGAAACTCAGCGGGCATGTCTTTTTTTTTAAATAATCATTTTTACAATGAAACTTAACAATTATTGCAATGACGAGTGGAGTTTGGATATAAAAACTCACCCTCCCCCTAGAAGTGATATCCTCGCTGTAATTATAATTAGTTCCTATCGCTATGTAACCGCGGAGACCGGATCTAGAACAAGAGAAAAACATAGATATATAACTACGATCGTTTTGTCGCTTTGTGATAAGAGTTCTATATCAACTTTATAAATCGAATTATTTTTTACTTATTAATTTTATAGTAGCTAACCCGGCAGACTTCGTAGTGCCTCCATCGATAAGTAAAAGACCTAAACTTTTGTATAAAATAAACTTAAAACAAACAAAAGGATTCCGTCCGACGGGGGACACATCAAAGGAAAAACAAAATTGTTATTTTTATTTAATTCCGAGCATTTTCATATTTATCTACTGGACTTCCACAAATAATTCAAGACCAAAATTAGCCAAATCGGTCCAGCCGTTCTAGAGTTTTAGCGAGACTAACGAAAAGCAGAAATCATTTCTATATTAAATATTTTATATATTAAAGAGTCGCCCAGTAGTCGAAATTCTTTTATTGTCTTCTTCTAATGGTTCTATTGTCAAAGACTATTATACTTTTATAATCACAAATTTCGCTAAGACTACACTATAGACAAACAATATTAATCTATTCTCAATTTGACCACAGACTTTAACAATAAACAAAAGAGTATTTGTCAAATCAGATCAGATTTCAAATTGAATTTCAATGAATTGAAATTTCATACTTTTCGGTCGCGCAATTTTCGTAAAAATGGGTACGAAATTTTTCACGTATTAATATATAGATGAGCACGCTTTTTTTTTATTGCCCTTGTAGGCAGACGAGCATACGGCCCACTGGTGGTAGGACCTCTTGTGAGTCCGCGCGTTGTGTAGTGAGCCCGAGTGAGCAGTAATGCGTTTCGGTTTGAAGGGTGGGGCAGCCGTTGTAACTATACTGAGACCTAAGAACTTATATCTCAAGGTGGGTGACGCATTAACTTTAACCACTTAAGACCAGTTAAGACCATATAAGTCCATGGGCTGCGAGGTCGTCCACCCATTTTAGCAATAAAAAAAACCTGATGCTGAGTGGTTACCGTCGCCCATGGACTTCAACAATGTCAAGGGCAGAGCCAAACCGTTGCCTACTGACTCTAGCCTTACTGTTGTGCAGCAAAACGTTTACCTGGTTCCTTCATACGACAGCGACACGTTCTTGAGACACGTCACGTGCTCCCACTCGTCCAGCTCGATCTTGGTGTTCGGTATGATCTCCCAGGAGACGGGGGAGAACAGCATCACCGAGAAGCGGTCCAGCATCGGGTACGGAAACCTGGAATCGTAGCATTCATGAGATAATGAACGAGCTCGTGTTCATTTTGTATTTCAAAGTGAAACTTCTTTAGAATCGTTGATGAAACGAAAAAATAAGTCCGTAGTTTTTTTAATACAGCGCCATCTATGAGATTTTTTTAAACTAACGTGTGTATAAAACCTCTTGTAGTGAATTTTAATTTAGGATTATACGTGAAGTTAAAATGTCAATTCACAGAGTTCGCTACCTCATACTATAAAAGGTGATTTACAATTATGTATTTACTAATGACAAAATTTTACATATACTTAGACATTTAGGATCCCCAACATCCCCAAACTCCAGTGTGAGAGGCTTAAACGACAAAGGGCCACTGAGCGGGTGATATTGCTCGGTAGACCGACGGTCCGAATGTTGTTGTTTGGAACTTGTATATGAGTCGACTATTATCAAAGCCGGCAATCTGACTTTTGGACAATGATTGGTAAATCAGAAAAACGAATTATTGACTTTGTGTTCCATTGGCAGTCACAAAATTCTTCGGAACGACATATTAGATAAATAACAGGTTAACTATTAACCTTTATTTAATGCAGGTTTTGAACCGTATTCTTTGAAGGAGACGATTATATTCAAATCAATCTGAATTGACATATCAATAAAAAAAATTTGTCCAAATGCACAGATTGCCACCTTTGATAATAGACGACTCATATATGCAAACTTATCTTGAAAATGTCGTGAGCGAGATTCAAGCATCTGTCAAATATTTTGCGTTGTATGATGGCTCCCCGGCACATTAGCAACACTCCGGTTTGAGCCCCGTGAGCTCACCTACACGTTAGGGCGAAGCAGCACAGGTAGAAAATAAGAAAGGCTGCCCGATCTGAAGCACCGCATACCTGTCCCCTTTGTTCTCGGCAGACTTCTCCTTGTCCTCGCCGTTGAACTTGTAGTAGACCGTGGTGGGCTGCGAGGTGGAGGCGACGAGGCAGTAGGTCCTGGACTCCAGGTGGAACGTGACGTAGTGTGGCGTCATGCGGATGGGCACCTTGCGCACCGCCCACGCCGCGTCGTACGACAGGTGCGACGGCAGCGCGCAGATGCGGAGCGACGACTGTGGAACGGGGGGAGGGGAGGGGAGTTGGGGGGAGAGTTCATACAATACAACTAAATTGCTTAATTATATTTTTTTATTGGTTAGATGGTTGGACGAGCTAACAGCCCACCTGGTGTTAAGCGGTTACTGGAGCCCATAGACATCTACGACGTAAATGCGCCACCCACCTAGAGATATAAGTTCTAAGGTCTTAGTGTAGTTACAGCGGCTGCCCCACCCTTCAAATCGAAACGCATTACTGCTTCACGGCAGAAATAGGCATGGGGGTGGTACCTACCCGTGCGAACACGCCAGACGTCATAAATATTTATAAAAATTAATCACGCCACGTTAACTGGTCCCGTGCTAAGTTCGTAAAGAACTTGTATTACAGGTACCAGATAACGGAAATAAATGTAAGATTTTTATTATACACATACATAAATATTTAATAAACATCCATAACCCTGGAAAATACATTTTATATTTATCACACAAATATCTTCCCTTGGCGGGATTTGAACCCGCGACCCCCTTGTGTAGTAGTGACCATGTCACTTACCACTACACCAGACGGCCGTAAAATATATTATTATATCTGGCCGTATATATACATTGAAAGAGAAGTTTCACTTTACTCACGCGCACCGAGTTGCAGGCGCGCCATTTTGTTTTTAGTGCTTGGCTATCACGCGCGCCATTTTGTTTTTAGTGCTTGGCTATCACGCGCGCTATTTTGTTTTTAGTGCTTGGCTATCACGCGCGCCATTATGTTTTTAGTGCGTGGCTATCACGCGCGCCATTTTGTTTTTAGTGCGTGGCTATCACGCGCGCCCTTTTTGTTTTTAGTGCTTGGCTATCACGCGCGCCATTATGTTTTTAGTGCGTGGCTATCACGCGCGCCATTTTGTTTTTAGTGCGTGGCTATCACGCGCGCCCTTTTTTTTTAGTGCGTGGCTATCACGCGCGCCCTTTTTGTTTTTAGTGCTTGGCTATCACGCGCGCCATTTTGTTTCTAGTGCCTGGCTATCACGCGCGCCATTTTGTTTTTAGTGCTTGGCTATCATGCGCGCCATTTTGTTTTTAGTGTTCGGCTACATCATTCTTGCGCGAGTCTCGCCCGGACTGACCTCGGCGTTGAAGTACAGGAAGCCCTGCGGACAGTTGGTGTTGTTGAAGGGCGCGAACGTGTGCACGGGCGGTCGGTCGGCGTGCAGCGGGTGCAGGCGCAGCTCGCCGCGCGCAGACAAGAACATCATGTAGGGGGTCGCGCCGCAGACGAACACCCCGCTGTACCCGCCCACGTTGCCTGCGGACCGGACACATACGTTGGTTTCAAGTCGACTTTTTGGCGGGAAATTACTCTTAAACATTATCTATGCTAGTCATGTGCATTATCTATGCTAGTCATGTGCATTATCTGTGCTAACTAATTTTATTACCTAGATGTGTGGACGAGCTCACAGCCCACCTGGTGTTAAGTGGTTACTGGAGCCCATAGACATCTACAACGTAAATGCGCCACACACCTTGAGATATAAGTTCTAAAGTCTCTCAGTATAGTTACAACGGCTGCCCCGCCCTTCAAACCGAAACGCATTACTGCTTCACGGCAGAAATAGGCGGGGCGGTGGTACCTACCCGCGCGTACTCACAAGAGGTCCTACCACCAGTAATTACGCAAATTATAATTTTGCGGGTTTGGTTTTTATTACACCATGTTATTCCTTCACCGTGGAAGTCAATCGTGAACAATTGTTAAGTACGTATTTCATTAGAAAAATTGGTACCCGCCTGCGGGATTCGAACACCGGTGCATCGCCATATATGAATGCACCGGACGTCTTATCCTTTAGGCCACGACGACTTCAACTAAATACGAAGCATCTCAAGTGGCTTTTTGGGGGGAAATTAGTCTTAAATATTATCTATGCTAATCATGTGCGTTATCTGTGCCAACTATCTAACTAAATACAAAACATATTTTCCAAATAAGATACGACCTAAACGTCTCGGTAGTGTAACTATGTAATTACACAGATAACCCTAATATCGATGTATAAAATGTTATACATCGATATTAGAAATTATATTGATTTTTAATATTGTCTATTTTTGTGACAAACATCCTTTATATATGGTTAGCAATGATGCACCGTGCGCACGTCACCCGCGTCTTCCAATCGATCGGCCGGCCACCAGTCCGTAACCTGTCTTGCCTGATTTAACGTATTATTAATGCATAATTTAAAAAATATATTAGCACTCTGTACTCCTTCTCTATATTCTCTATAAGTGTGGGAGTCCGTAACCTGTCTTGCCGTCGGGTGCTCGTCGTATTGAACCTGCTAACCCGCTTCGCAGTGCTTGCGCATAGTTTTGCTTAACATTTAAATTTAGCTTAGTGTTGAAGTTTGTAAATTTGTTTCCTTTTCCTGTGTTTGGCTGTTTCGTGATCTGTATTTCAATTTTTGTTCTACTCTTCATCTGTGAACTGTGTCTAACTTACTCCTTCTAATAAACTTAAGTGAATGTTACTTTGTAAAGTAAACTGTGTATCATTTCTACGCTTACCATATTCGCTTTGTCACCAGGTCATAAAATTGATAAAAAAATACGAAGCATTTCAAGAGGCTTTTTGGTGGAAACACGACGAGTGAACTTGTGTGATTTGTTTTATTTTGTCTATTTAGTGTTTCTTCAGGTTTAAATGTGTAATAATGGTGGTTTATTAACTGTTTAATATCTGTGAAAGTGCACAAATGTGGGAAAATGAAACAAAGCCGCTTTAGATGTTCTTTTTTTTTCTACCTAATCGCTGGTAGCCTTAGGGGCTATTCCAGCTATGCGCGGACCGGTAGGTGGGCTCACGGGCTCAACCTGAGAGAGTTTGCTAACACTAGCCCTAGCAAGAGTAGTGCTTCGCAGAATCTACCACCAGATCGGAAACGCGACCCACTGAGAAGATCCGGCGAGAAACTCAGTGGGCTGTGTCTGTCGGTTAGAATAGATGAATTCAACGAGGACGGTGACCGATGCTTGGCGTACCCAAAGCCACCAGTATCTTAACAATACATCCGTCTTATACATGCTATTTAAATGTACCTAAATACGCCTAGATAAATCTTCAGTGATAGGGAGGAGTGCTGCATGCAAGAACATGAATTATTAACAAAACATTATTTGAGGCCGTCACCGCAAAAGTGGCCTAACCCTGACTTTTTCATATTCGTGTTTATTTATCGCAATATATTTAATTTTAAAACGTAACAAATTTAGATGCCAAACCGGGCCCTTTCACCCATAGATAACAGATGGCTTTGTAAACATCATTTGCACGTATTGTTTTTGCCTACGAGCGAACTGTGGCAAGCTTAGGCCACTTTTGCGATGACGGCTTCATTTATTAATTAACCAATGAATTTCTTATTAAATTATACATACAAACATACTTATAGTATATATTTTTATAAATGAGTAGATGCAGCCCATTTAGTCACCATTTCTAAACAACACCAAAAAAGTTAAAAACCCGAGCAAATATCGATTATTCCACATTCAAATTATCAGTGCGGATGATATGAGCGGCTGCCCCCCGCGGTCCCCCCCCCCCTTTGCTCACCAAAGTACCGCAGCTGCCGCACGCCGTCCCGCACGCCGGCCGTCTCGTAGGTGTCGGCGCTCTGTGCGGTGCTGGGCACGCTCTCGTACCCAAACGGGAACGAGACAGTCACCCGGCAGAACCGCAGCTTGAGATTCCCCCGGGGGTATTTGTACGCCTGGGGGATACGATAATAAATAATCTATACATATAAATAAAACTGGAGTGTCTGTTTGTAATATTGAAATAACCGCTTTTTACTAGATGCATATGAATATATATANAAACATATATATATATGTACGGTACATACACCAAAATAACATTTTTTACAATTTTTGTCTGTCTGTCTGTTTGTTCCGACTAATCTCTCGAACGGCTGGACCAATTTTGACGAGACTTTCACTGACAGGTAGCTGATGATATAAGGAGTAACTTAGGCTACTTTTTTTTAGACTAGCTTCGCCCCGCGGCGTCATCCGCGGTACGACAATAAACGCGGGTAGGTAGCATCGCGGGACTCAGCTATCAATAATAAAATTTAATGTTTCCGATGCGAAGCGAGGGCGGGATGGTAAAATCATTTATTGCCTTTCACATTAAATAAAATAAAATACAAATAAAAGAAAAGAAAAAGAAAAAGGCTATAGGAATTGGCTCAACTAATGCTGTTTTGAGTCGATAAATCGGACAGCGCTGATTTCGCATCGCATTCGTTATAGCAAACGTCAAGCTGTGCTGGAATTACGAGGAGTTAGTCGGCGCTCAGCTAGCCTCAAGGATCCTTTTAGCGTGAATATGAAAATACGATTCGTCGGTTATCTATACTAATGTTATATTCTATACTAATATTACAAAGAGGAAAGATTTGTTTGTTTGTTTGTATTGACTAGGCTCCGAAATTACTGAACCGATTTAAAAATTTCCTGCACTGTTCGGAAGCTACACTATTTCCGAGTGACATAGGCTATAAACTTTTTTTGGAAAAAAATAGGAATCCTTACTAAAACTCCGATAATGTAACCCAAGGTGAAAAAAAATTACCTAAAATATTCTTAACAACGCGTGCCCTGCGAAAACTATTGATGAGAGAATAAAATAATGTGCTACGACTTTATAGAACACATTATTAGTTACAAAAAGTATGGCAACAGCATATGTCTAACTATTATGGTTATCCCGCAATAAGTTTTCTTTTATTTAAAAAAATAAAACAACGTCAAATATTGTTAAAATTTTTGTTAAAGACCCGAGCGGAGCCGGAGCGAGCCGCTAGTCATATGTGTATCGAGAAGTGAAAAGCTATTTGTAATACGCAACATTTATCTTTGTAATTAAAATCCGTTTTATTTGGTATGAACTGTTCAAAGTTTTTAATTGAACTTAAATTGAATTCACTCCATTGGAATTTTTTTTTATTGCTTAGATGGGTGGACGAGCTCACAGCCCACCTGGTGTTAAGTGGAGCCTATGGACATCTACAACGTAAATGCGCCACCCACCTTGAGATATAAGTTCTAAAATCTCAGTATAGTTACAACGGCTGCCCCGCTCTTCAAACCGAAACGCATTACTGCTTCACGGCAGAAATAGGCAGGGCGGCGGCACCTACCCGCGCGGACTCACAAGAGGTCCTACCACCAGTAATAGCTAAAGAAGTCTTTTTGGTATGTAATTTTTTCAAAAATTTAAATTTTAAATGGTTTTCTTGTAAAGTTACAAAGATATCGCTTCAAACAAATAGCCTATCACTCATCGATATAATTATTATAAATTATTTCCAACGAAAACAATGAGTGTCCTTGAGGGTTCGTGACGTCATCATCGCAAGCCCGCGGTACCCTCCCGGGCAGGCTCACAATATGACGGTTGGGGTTCGCAGTGCGCTGGTGTAAGACTCAGATAACGCTGATGTCCAGTGTCCGATGACTGCTCATAACAGTGGAGCGTATTGTTAGCTCGTAGTCATGCGTTCTAATTTGAAGGGTGAGCCGTCGTGATGTCCATGGGCTTCTGTATATAGACCTATGACGCCACGCCCCACTAAGCGCACTGATCACTCCGTGTTTTTTTTATTGCTTAGATGGGTGGACGAGCTCACAGACCACCTGGTTTTAAATGGTTACTGGAGCCCATAGACATCTACAACATCTACAACGCCACCCACCTTGATAAGTTCTAAGGTCTCAAGTATAGTTACAACGGCTGCCCCACCCTTCAAACCGCATTACTGCTTCACGGCAGAAATAGGCAGTGGAACCTACCCGCGCGGACTCACAAGGTAAAGATCACCTGATAAATCATCAATTCATTTTGCATCCTCAGCATCAGTATCACCCTGGAGCCCTTGTGCCCCAGACCGACGACGCACAGTTCCTTGAGCTTCTCAGCATCAGCGTTGTGTGACGGCGCGCTGATGTCCTCGTCCTCCATGCTGTCTGACATCGGGACGGACTCCAGGCTGTCCGCCAATATCTGTCAAAGGAGTCGCTGCGTGAGGAATCAGAAGGAACACCGACCTGATAACTGCAGTATCGCTTCACGGCCAAGACAGTTAAAATCTGCATAGGCATAGACAACGACTATGTCAGAAATACAGCTTACACAGCCTTCGTGGTACCTCCGAACGTGTTATCAAATTATATCAATTGTAATACCAGGACTCATATAACCAAAAATGTCTCAACGAATACCAGCGCCAACGCGGGTTCACTCCTTAGCTTACATACAAAACTACTTGGAAGTAATCGTGTTAGCAAATATGTGATTATGTGGGGGCAATTACAGCCTGTTCCCCCTCCGTCCCCCCGGTACCCCAGCGGCGTAATGCAACAATTTTGCAAGCAGAGTCCGCTGCTCAATAAAAAACGGTGGGCGTGCAACTTGGTACACGTGAATGAAGTGAAACTTCATCTATCTATCTAACTATCGATGTCCGCCTCGCCTATTTCCGCCGTGAAGCAGTAATGCGTTTCGGTCTGAAGGGTGGGGCAGTTTTTGTAACTATACTTGAGACCTTAGAACTTATATCTCAAGGTGGGTGCCGCATTTACTTTGTAGATGTCTATGGGCTTCAGTAACTACTGAACACCAGGTGGGCTGTGAGCTCGACCACCCATCTAAGCGATAAAAAAAGTTTAGTATTATGGTTTTGTTCATTTTTCATCCTTAAATCAAATTGCTCTTGTAATAGGGAATACTGTGTATAAGAGATGCGACGTCTTCAACATTTATATTATATAGCTAGCTGTACTCGCCCGCTTCGCCGGGTATTTAAAATTAACATTATTATTTATTGTCATTATTATTAGGGAGTCCAACACTAATATAAATATTAGCCTATCCATTAAGTACATGTATTTTCTACATGGATACCAAGTTTCAAGTCAATCGGATGCATGGTCCAGTAGTTATAACGGAACATCCGTAAAAACCACTGTAGATTTATATATGAGTATAGATATATATATTTTTTAAATTATAGATAGAAAAATAAATTTAAATATATTTTTAAATACTTCATTAAAATATTGGCCGTTACTCGTTGCTAACGCTCGCGCTGGCCTGCAACAGGTATACGACGCGCATGCGTTCGAGTGTCGCGCTCACTCTCGCTCTGTCTCTTTCTATTCCATGGTAGAGTTAGACGCATAACGCAACCTTGTTGGAAGTCGCATTAGAAGTTTCACTTCAATAAAAAGAATGTCGAGTGAATTAAAATTGGTTTTCGAATATGACCCCCAAGCGTAAGGTTTTTTTTTTATTGCCCTTGTAGGCAGACGATCATACGGCCCACCTGATGGAGAGTGGTTACCGTCGCCCATGGACTTCAGCAATGCCAGGGGCAGAGCCGAGCCGCTGCCTAACCCTTAATACTCTCCACAAGCCTCGTTTGAAGAAGGACATGTCGTTTCGGGTGTTCAAGGACGGTGTTTCCCGAGCGCTATGACATGTCCTTCATCAAACGAGGCTTGTGGAGTGTTAAACGGTAGGCAGCGGCTTGGCTCTGCCCCTGGCATTGCTGACGTCCATGGGCGACGGTAACCACTCACCATCAGGTGGGCCGTGTGCTCGTCTGCGTATACGGCAATAAAAAAATAACATAAAATATGATGACACCGAGGAAGGATCTTGAATTAGTGTATTCGTATACTAACCCTGTTTCCAGCGCACGAGTCTCTCACCAGGAAACTCAACCTCATTTCCGGCAACGAGTATATCTCCAGGTTGCCGTTGTCGCGAACGCAGAACAGCCAGTACGTGGGCTTCACCTCCTGGAGGTACTTCTTCCACCAGCGCGACATCCGACGCGGAACCCCTGGATTCTTGCTTTGCTCCGCCAGCATTATCTGTTTCAACGGAAGGAAAAGCTCGCTAAGGCTAGTTTTTAGTACCGTGGCCTGGCGTACCACCATAGACCATAGTTTCCGTTGAGACATGATGTTAAATCAATTGTACTAGTTAACATCTGTACTAGTAAAAAAAATTGTAAAGCGTGGTAGGAAATATCCAGTCCAAGGTTGGCAACTATACGTACCACCATTTACAAAGGCAATTAAAATATATATACATATATTTAAGGCTATCAGCATAGGTAGGAAAAAAACGCACAACACATTCCGACTCGAGCATCCGAACGGAGCGGAGCTCTTTGTTGCTATTGTTGTACACTTGAAATGTAACAAATAGAATTCATTGGATTGATTGCAATCAGACTGAACTGCCCCTATATAAGACACTGTTGTAATAAGCATCTATCTCTCATTAAACTAACCCAGCGGCTGGTATGGTGGCGGTTACTCAGTTAACATTATTTCATTATTTATTGTATTAGTTCTTGTATTCATTTTAATTTTATATTAGTAGTTGACAATTTTAATAATTTTGATTCGGTTTCATTTCATTTGGTTTCATTTTTGCTTGTTTTTGTTTTTAGTCATTCTGATAAATTGTAATTTTAATTTTATTGTATTTTGATTTAGATGTTATGTAATTGTATGTGACATTTTATGGGCTTAAGTTGCCTGAAATAAACGCATTTCAATTCATTTCATTGGAAAAGTGAGTCTTAATTACTGTCACTAAGGAAGGCAATGATAATGATGAAGAGAATCGCGTTGCAACGCTGACGTCGTCATTTTAAAAACACCACGGAACCAGCCTCTCTGTCAAACATATAATAGAAGATAAGTGACACTCACGCTGGCCATGGATGCGGGCGTCTGGTCGCCTCCGTACAGCATCTCATCTTCGTCGTTCAGCTCATAGACCACGCCGGGCTTGAAGGCCTCCTTCTTCACGTTCTCCTTCAACTTACCGGTGAACTCACCTTTGACCTGCAAACGTCACTGAAGTGAGTATACTTATATATTATAGCATAGCATAGCATAGCATAGTATTAGCATAGCATTTAGTATATAACATAATTAACTCAATTCAAATTCAAATTCAAAATCATTTATTTCAACTTAGATGTCAGTATGACACGCTTGTTGAATGTCAAAATACAAATAACAATGTTAACTCTACCACCGGTTCCAAAAAAAGCCACAGTCCTGAGAAGAACCGGCGAAACAAACTCAGCGGGCGTATTAATAGGTGTAATCTCGTATGTCCCCCTAATAAGGCGGACCATCCAGAAACATAGGCTTTTTCATAATTGTAAACTAGGATTAAGATGATTATTAAGCTCGGAATACACGCAAGAAGACGTTTTCCTTTAACCCCTCCCAAAGTGCAACATTACATCACAATCGAACCAGAGGTTCTCAAACTTTCACGTTCCACGTACACACATGTCGTGCCACTTATGCGAAATTCAAAGCTGCATATTGTCTTATCATATTAAAATGTTTCTGATTTGTTTTTTTTTCTACCAAAGCTGATAGCCTTGAGAGGCTATTTCAGCGTAACCTTAACTAGTAGGTGAGCTCACGGGGCTCAAAGAGCCGTGCTTCGCAGCATCTACCACCGGGTCGGAAACGCGACCCACTAAGAAGGTCCGGCGAAAAACTCAGTGGGCTGTGTCTGAGAGTTAATTTTAGGACGATGACCGGTGCTTGAGGTACCTAAAAGCACCGTTAGTAGAAATGACATGTTTGGTGCGACGTCGACTGCTTTCCATTCTGTCCGCAGGATCGGGAATGTAGTTACCGGCGGCCACGGTGACAGGGTTCTCGTGTCGTGCCGCTTTACTGAAGGGGGGATACTTAGTAAAGAGGAAGCGAAGATGAAGTAGTGCAGCATTTCTCGGCGGGTACAGTACCTGGTGGCCGGGCTCGGCGAGGTCTGGCGCGAACAGTCCGCTGAGGTCGCGGTGCGGGGCGGCGCGCACGAGCGGGGGCCGCGCGGGGACGCACTGCCGCGTGGGCGCCAGCCGACCCGACGGCTGCAACAAACACAATTATATATATTTTATTGCTTAGGTAACCTGGTGTTAACTGGTTACTGGAGCCCATAAAACTTCGTGTTACGATAGAGATCAGAAAACAGATTTTTTATGATTGAAGGATTTATGGTGGCCCGGAGGTCTTTCGAGTTTCACCAGACAAGCAAAGACTCAGCCAGGAGGGGTAGGATTTGCTAAGAGCCACTCAAACGCCTCCGAAGGAGACCTAACAACTCAAGAGCAGCTCCTTCGCGAATGAATCTACTACCGGATCGGAATCGCGACCCGCTGAGAAGATTCAGACGTGAAGCTCAGCATTTCTGATGCATTTCTGTCGTGAAGCAGTAATGCGTTTCAGTTTGAAGGGTAGGGCAGCCGTTGTAACTATACTTGATACCTTAGAACTTATATCTCAAGGTGGGTGGCGCATTTACGTCGTAAAATGTCTATCGGCTCCAGTGACCACTTAACACCAGGTTGGCTATGAGTTCATCCACCCATCTAAGCAATAAAAATAAAAAAACATGTGTTTGTGCAAGTCACACACGGTAGAAGTGAAACTTATAAATAAGATATAGATATACTGACTATCCCACTACACAGGAGCATACATATGGACAATGTTTAGTAGACGATAGTGGGGATGCTACGAAGAGTCGCACAAAGAGGAGACCGAGAATGTCTAATGTGTTCTATCTCATTCTCTCGCCGGCTGAATCCTATACATTTATGTGTTTGTGTCTCTCTGGACTTATTATTTCGTTTCATCGAGTTTGAAATCACAACGATCCTAAAGAAGTTTCACTTCAAAAAAAAGCATGGGTTTACGGCCGATGTTTTAGAGCCTTCGATTGGCCTCGAAGGCTCCGTCGGCTGGGCGTCCTTGGGGTGAGCTGCGCTGTCTGGTTGCAGTGTTGCCCGTGGTAACCCCCCTACCTCATCCGGGTTCTGACCTCGGAGAGGATCGGACGCTTGGGCGAAGAGTGCAGAGGAGTCGTTTAGTGGGTGGGCCCTAAAATTCCTTGGGCCCGCGGTCTGCTCTCAACACCTGTAGATCGTGGAGTCTCACATACCCCGCGCGCCCCCTAGGCGCGGGGACCTCGTAGGAGGATCGGAACCCGGCCCGAAAAAAAAAAATAGGTTGCACGTCGAATTCTTTGTCGAGTTCGACAAGTACGGTGACCGGCAGATACGGCTATAGTTTATGTTGGTTCGTAGGTAAGTTGGTGGAATGCACTAAAAGAGCTTTTTTATGAGAAAATTATTTATTTTTCTATTCTGACGTCGGATGACAAAAACTTTAGTGGTTAGGAAGCGCGTGGGGTTCGTTGTTTCGGTAACAGCACTGACTTCGCTCGCCTCAGGTCACCGGTCCGAGGCCCCCTCCCCTCTCGTTGAACCCCGCGCACTCCCTCTTACAAACCTTGTTAATTTAAAATCTAAGCTAAAAGTTTTGTTAACTTCTTTTAACGAAACGAATCCACCACACAAACAAACATACACCAAATATACCAGTCACGGCTCCAAATTTATATTCAACGCATCGCTAACATCGGCGTTATGACTGTGGAGGCGTTACCTGCCCGTCCTTCCCCCTGATCTCTCTCAGGGCCAGCACGATGGCGCGGCCGCAGCTGGACGTGACGCACAGGTAGGGGTCCGCGACGGCCGCGTACTGAGCCGTCCACTCCAGCTGGATCGACTGCAGCTGCACGCCGCCTGAAACAGGAACAACAGCTTCAATAACCTCATGCATCATGCAGAACCAGAGCCGATAGACGAACGGCTTAGTTTGACCAAACTGCTTAGCTTAATAAGTTTTATTGAGTAACTAGCTGACCCGGCAGACTTCGTGGTGCCTCAATTGATAAATAAAAAACCTAGACTTTTGTATAAAATAAACTTAAAACAAACAAAAGGAATCCGTCCGACGGGGGACACGTCAAAGGGAAAACAAAATTGTTATTTTTATTTAATTCCGAGCATTTTCATATTTATCTACCTTTTAAACCTCTTCTGGACTTCCACAAATAATTCAAGACCGAAATTAGCCAAATCGGTCCAGCCGTTCTCGAGCTTTAGCGAGACTAACGAACAGCAATTCATTTTTATATATATAGAAGAGAAGAAGAAGATAGAGGATAGATAGATACAGCTTGATACTGACATAGTTGAGTCTGACTAAAGATTAAAATGATGAATTTCTGACCCGGTTAATCCGGGTGGAGACTGTCCGCGGCAGAGGGACCGCGTTGGAACCTAGAGTACCCTTAGAATGCTCACCCTTGATGAGTCGAATGGTGGTGGTGGTGACCTGCACCATGAACTTGTTGTTCCCGAGGTTCCCAGCGAAGATGGTGGGCGAGCCCGTCATGAAGCCAGAGTTGTCCACCTCGTTGATCTCCTGGCCGGTTTGTAGGACCTGGCGTTTTGACTTTATTTAGGACACGTGTTGTAATTTTGGAACGAAGTTCCTTATGGGACGATGCGAAGACAGGGGAGAACGGAAGGGTGGGTGGCAGAGGGGAGGAGGATGGGGAGGAGGAAGGGAGAGGCGACGGAGGGGAGGAGGATAGGGAAGGGGGGCAGAGGGGGAGTTGTCCCCCGGCACTGCCGAACTTGTAAGTTCGAAGAGCTCACCATGGAGGAGTCGTCTTGCGTCAGTATCAAATACGCGTGCGTTCCTTCGTTTTCTCTAGTGCTTTCGCTCTCTCCGAAAACCGACCACATGTCGATACAACCTGTAATCATAATTACGTACAATCATTGGCCACGGGCTAACCAATACGCGAATTGGCGCTAGTTTGAGACATTAACGACCCCCACATAAATCCGGGAGGATATTATTAAAAAAATGAAGCACGCACTATTACAGGTGGTAGGACCTCTTGTGAGTTCGCGCGGGTGAGTAGCACCACCCTGCCTATTTCTGCCGTGAAGCAGTAATGCGTTTCGGTTTGAAGGGTGGGGCAGCCGTTGTAACTATACTTGAGACCTTAGAATTTATATCTCAAGGTGGGTGGCGCATTTACGTTGTGGATGTCTATGGGCTCCAGTAACCACTTAACACCAGGTTGGCTGTGAGCTCGTCCAACCATCTAAGCAATAAAAAAAAATAAAAAAACACGCAAATCGAGAAGTATTATTTTAAAGGACGTCAAAAATTTTTATTGCTTTAAGCACCTTTGCACACCTTTTTTTAAGCACATTGGACCTGGTGTTAAGTGGTTACTGGAGCCCATAGACATCTACAAAGGAAATGCCGTCACCCACCTTGAGATATGAGTTCTAAGATCTCAGTACAGTTACAACAACTCCCACGCCCTTCGGCAGAAATAGGCAGGACGGTTGTACCTACCCGTGCGGACACACAAGACGCCCTACCACCAATAATTACATAATTTATATTTTTTCCCAATTTACATTTTATTACGCGACATTTCGAAGTCATTCGTGAACATTTGTTAAGTACGTATTTCATTACAAAAATTGGTACATCGCCAGCGGGATTCGAACACCGACACAGTTGCATCGGTCAATACGAACGCACCGGACGTCTTATCCTTTAGGCCACGACGACTTCAATGTACATTAAACTCCAGATTTAGATAATGAATGATAGAAGGGTTATTTTGATAATATCCTGAAAAGAGCACCCCACGCTTTTTTTACAAAAAAACTTTTTTTCTAACGCTATTTTTAATTCAAATTTACTAAAAAAAATTTTCTATTTTTTTGGTTGGATTTTCTATAAAAGCGTATTCTGTTAGTTTTTTAAACTATTATTTTTTATTCCAATTTAATAATTATGAAGTCGTCGTGGCCTAAAAGATAGGGTATTCGGTGTAGTCACATCTCTCGATACGAATTCACTGCCTTTTCCTTTAGGCCACGACGACTTCAACGTACATTAAGCTCCAGACTTAGATGACCACAACTCTACAAAAAAAAAATTCGTTCTTTGTCCTAACGTTTATACTAGGTTTTTCCGGTTCATTATTCACAAAGGCTGAGACCTGGACCTTGAAAGAGTCTGACAGGCGACGCATAGACGCGTTTGAGATGTGCTGGCGGCGCATGTTGCGCATCCCTTAGACGGCTTTCCGGACGAACGCTTCCATCCTCAACGAGCTAAAAGTTGACCAGAGGCTATCCACCAAATGTCTATAAATAGAGTGCTCCAATACTTTGGTCATATAGCAAGAAAACCCTCTGACAACCTGGAGAGACTCATAGTGACGGGTAAAATGGATGGAAGACGATCCAAAGGTCGTAGCCGAAAAAGATGGAGTGACCAAGTGTCTGAGTATCTGGACATGAGACTGAGCCACGCACTTCACTGTGCTACTGACCGACATAAGTGGCTAAAAATTACAAAAAAAGGTCACAGGCGGGCGCATCACGATGCTCAGCAATGAGCGATCGACTGAAGGAGAAGGAGGAGGATTCACGAAAACGAAAATAAAATACCGTTTTTTGGTATAAAGTATACTTTTGTGATAGTTATATAGTAATAATACTGATTTTTCAATTTATTTATAAATTTTAATTAATTTTAATACTTTCAAAAAAAACCGCGCTATGAGAGTGTGGTGTTTACGTTTACACAGTGCCACTAGATGGCGCTCGAGTCATAAACAACGATCAGGTGTTTTGTATAAGCCCAGAAAAACTTAAAATGTCACGAAAATGTAAATATACGATGCTGATGCATTTTGTTTCATATGTGGTTAATTTATTAAAGTTCAAAATCAAACGGTTTCATGCCATGTATTTTTTTTTCGTCTAATTACTATATAAAATATCGATATTTTATCCTTTGCAATTAAAATCAAATTTGGTGTTGACTCGCGTAATTAACTCACCGGGTAAATTGAAAGCAGTGATCAACTGAGGTCTGACCGTCCTCTGGAGTACGGTCAGGGCGCCGTTCTTCCCTCTGCCACTACAGGTCACCAGCTCCACCAGAGGATTCTCCTGCTGTCTGCTGTACTCCTCGGAGAGAAGCTGGGGCTCACCCATAGACACGTCGCCGATCGGACATATGTTTAACAGCGAATCGCATACCTGTATTATTATTGATTTTTTAGTTGAATTTAAATTTTTCAATTATTTTTTATTTACTAATTAATTGTCATCGGTCCTCGATAAATCTACAAAGTTTGAATGAAGTCTGGCCGTTTAAAGTGGGTCAAAATCGCGTCTAAAAGAAGTCAGTTACAAACATACATACAAGTGAAGCTAATATAAAGCGTGTAATAAAAAGAAATTAATGTGGGGTTTTATATTCAGGTTGGGCCAGTGAAACGGTTGATGGCTTCACAAAACTTGATGCTTTATTTCGTCTCATTATAAGTAACTTTATAAATGAACAAATTTGATTCGAGCCCTACACCCCGGCAGAGGGTAATAGGAAAGAATGATGATGATGATAAGTAACTCAAAAAAAAAAACCCAATATAGTACCCACTTATGCAATCTGAAGATTCCCTAAAATTTTCAACGAAATCCGTCCGGTCATTGAGACTGTATAGAATATACATAGGCACATCCACTTTTATAGATCAATTTATAGAACATACATACACTCCCGGACACGTCTATCGGCCTACCTAGTGTTTTAAGTTTTATCTTAGGTGCCTAGCTAAACATAAACGTCAGGTGGGGCAATATTTTTTATGCAGTTTTGAAGCTGTTTTATTGGTCAACCCTTTGGTATGTTTTTCTTTTTAATCTGAATTCAGAAACATGAAAAAAAACGTGATAGCGTATAAGAAGGTATAATTCAAGTATGCGCCTTGGTGAAGGGCAACAGTAGTAAGTAGTCTGAATTTTCAAAGAAATCAAACGTTTTATTTCTGATAAATTCATAAAGTATTTGAAATGACGGAATTATTAAAATGACATTGATAGATTTTGTGAACTAGATCTAAAGCTGTACATGAAAAAGAACAGAATATAGACTGCTATGTCATAGTATACCTATGCAACGGTAAAGATGCGTGCGTGTGTGAATTTGGCGTGCCGGCGTGCGTGCGTGCGGGCGTGCGTACGTGCGTGTATGCGTGTGTGCGTGCGTGCGTGCGTATCTGTGTATGAGTGCGTGCGTGCATGCGTGCATGTGTGTGCGCGCGCTCGTACGATGGCGTACCTCGAACACGTAGCTGGTGAGTCTTGTGGACGTGCGTATGTCGCTGCCGTACACCTCGAGCTCGTCTCCGTCGCTGATCTCGATGACGTTGGAGGCCACGCAGTCGCTGATGGTGTCCATGCGCCGCCGCTTCGAAGCCGGGTCGGGCTGCTCCTTCTCTCTGCTCTGCTCTCGTTCTGTGGGTACCACTGCACTATTGTATATGTTCGGTTGTCAAAAAAAAAGTCGCAATTATGTACTATTTATAAGTTGTAACTAAAAATGTAAATATTAATTAATTTTATTTATACATTTAAAAAAAATCTAAAGTAAACTTGTATAGAGTTTACTTGGTAATAATAAAATGTCTATAATTTATAACACCCAAGCATTCAGTACAATAAGACATACGTAATTGTTAGCTGGCTATACATGTCATGGCATATGGCATTACTTCATAGTGTACTGTTTTGCGCATGTCTACTGCTCAGATCTTCAAAAGCATATCAGTGCTCTTATAAATCAGACCCTACCGGTTTCGGCCACGGTCAGATCGACCGTCGCTTCCAGGGGTTTGTCAACGGAGAACAACATCCGGTTCTCTCGCTCGGTAACGCGCAGCAGCAGCGAGTTCCCGAGCCGCGACCCCAGGAATAGGAAGTCCTCTTCTATAACGCACATCTAGAGCGAGACGGAGGAACATAATTAAGGTAAATGTTTATTCCTTCAAAACAAGTGCGGTCTCACGAGACGCACTACCACCAATAATTACATAATTTATATTTTTTGCCAATTTACATTTTATTACGCGAAATTTCAGTCTTTCGTGAACATTTATTAAATACGTATTTCATTGGAAAAATTGGTACCCGCCTGCGGGATTCGAACACCGGTGCATCGCTCGATACGAATGCACCGAACGTCTTATCCTTTAGGCCACGACGACTTCACGTCTAGTAAATTAAATATCATTAATTTGAACGGCATCAAAGGGCGCACTCACGCAGGTGGTGAGCACGGAGGCGGCGGCGCGGTCGATGTGGAAGCTTCTGACGGAGCGCACACTGTCCGCCAGCAGCGCCACAACGTACAGCTGGCCGCCGCGCAGAGACACCGCGAACACGGCGTCCGACAGCCGCGCCACGCACGCGCCCTCCAGCGTCATGCACACGCCCTCCTGGATCCCTGCGCGACGCACCCTCGATCAGGGAATACGAATCAAGAAATTCCGTAACGAAAATAAAACCTAACACCCGCCACTCCGCCTACCATGTAGCTCGCGTTCTCGGTTGTGAAAAAGCGCGCGGCGTGACGTCGCACTGCATGCGCATCATGAAAAGTCTGCCCATCTCTCTCTCGCGCGGTCTAGCTTATGAGTGTGAAGGGGACAGTTAATGTTTTGTTTTTGTTAATTGTTTATAAATATAGCGTGGTCTTATTTTATTATTGTTTTAATATTAATTTATTACTGTCTAATTATAATTGCATAAGTTAATAAAAAATGCTAGGCAATAGCTTTACCGCGGCAGTCCCCGAGTGCCACGCGTTTTTTTTTTATTTAGGAGATAAAATACAACGAAACAACCTCCGGAGGAGGAGACGGAAGTACTCTCAACATAGAGGGGGGAGGTGTTAAGTAATAATAAGAAGACACAAATAAGCTCGACTCGAAAGAAATATGCTCTTTTATCCGTAGATCTTGTAGGTTGTACGTGGTGGAGAGGTTATATCAGCGTTACCCTAGAGTGTATGTGAGCTCTCGGGGCTCAAACTATAGTGGTGGAGAGGTTATATCAGCGTTACCCTAGCGTGTAGGTGAGCTCTCGGGGCTCAAACCAGAGTTGTTGCTAACACTGGCCCTAGCAAGAGCCGTGCTACGCAGAATCTACCACCGAATCAGCAACGCGACCCACTGAGAAGATCCGACAAGAAACTCAGTAGGCTGTGTGTCTGTGGGTTAATTTCGTTGCAAGCGACGCGTTCGACGAGAACGGTGACCGATGCTTGAGGTACCTAAAAGCACTGATAATGGATCAGGAGGATTCGTAATGACATATTTAGGGCAAATCTACCCTCCCCTACATATCTAGTGAAAGTAAATGCATGAAAAAAAAAGGGGGAACGAACCGCTGGGTTTTTTATAACCAATAATACTTACTCAGGGGAAAATTTGTGGTGTGTGTAGCAACACTGTTCAGTGAGACGCCGTAAGGTGGAACCGATTGATTTAAATATATCAATGAGTTGACGGCCATTATCAAACAGCCACCTGTAATAATAAGGTTATCATAGAAATACCAACAAGATATTATTTCTAATAGATAGATGATATTATTATACATTACCTGTACTGTACATTAACTGTACCCGTCTGCTTCGCTAGGCATTTAAAATTAACATTTTTATTTCTCACCCCCACAAAGATTCTCATCATTAATGCCCGCGCAACTGGTGTAGGGAGTACAACACTCATATAAATATTAGCCTATCCATTAAGTACATGTATTTTCTACATGGATACCACCAAGTTTCAAGTCAATCGGATGCCTGGTTCAGTAGTTATAACGGAACATCCGTAATAACAACTGTAGATTTATATATTAGTATAGATATTGATAAAGATTTTTTTTGTATATGAAGCAGTAAATATAAACCAGTTCACAGTAGGATGTCTTAATAACACATGCAAACTATATATTCAACTCTTTCCTACACTAAATCTAACTGAAGTTACAACCTCAAACGACAAAAGTCTAGATCTTTCTTAACTCACTCACAAAGATCTGTGTGCATATTAAAATATCATGCTGTCTCTCTCGCACACCCGTACTTAAATGTCTTAAATGACGGTAATGTTTAATTCCATATTTTTTTTCTCCCTCGACTATAAATAACATAGTTGAACGGTCGAAGGACCACTTGAACGATCGCTTAGTTCTTTTGTCGTCTATTTTATATACATATGAGAACGGTCAATTCGTTCCTTGTCGTCTGGTGTGTGTCCGTGACTTTTACGAAGTCTGAAAAATGTACTGCCTGCCGCCAGTCACGTACCATTTCTCTATTATTTTTTGAATTCTTGATGATGATATTAATTTATCCCTAATGGGAAAGGCAAAGGACTTTAGTCCATACAGCCAGGTCTTGTTCTTGGTAATCATTGGAGAATTTTGGTAGTTTTAAAAGGTGAAGCCATGTCTTGTCTTATTGTTGTCATATCTTATTATTCTCGGTCATAAGGCCTAAGCTACTTCTTCGATGTTTTGAATTGGTCGAAGTCAAATCCAATTTTGAATTCTCGTAAAGTGTCTGTCTTAATCTGTGTCTAGTCGTTGTAGGTCTTATATCAAAGAGGTTGCACGCCACGACAATAGTCGTTCTATTTACAATACCCAAAGAGCCTCACCTAGTGGTTTCGGCACGGGCACGGCTTGGAGACAGTCGAAGGGCAGACCTGAGGTGGACCAGATGACCGGGTGCACCCGAGCTGACATGTTCAGACTGACGCCCGCCATCGCGCAGGTGTCGTTGCGAACCGCCGTGCGACTGTCGAGAGATCATCGCACGTTTTTAAACAAGTTATTATTTTATAAGCTACGTCATTAACTTCTCTATTATATGGTGGTAGGACCTCTTGTGAGTCTGCGCGGGTAGGTACCACCACCCCGCCTATTTCTGCCGTGAAGCAGTAATGCGTTTCGGTTTGAAGGGTGGGGCAGCAATTGTAACTATACTGAGACCTTAGAACTTATATGTCAAGATGAGTGGCACATTTACGTTGTAGATGTCTATGGGCTCAAGTAACCACTTAACACCAGGTGGGCTGTGAGCTCGTCCACCCATCTAAGCAATAAAAAAATAAAAATAAAAGAATATGGATGGGCAAGAAAAGCGTTTGTTTATCGTTTTATGCCTTGGTTCAGAAGTATTCAGTCTGATGGAGAGCGGTCAGCAATGCTAATGACACAGACAAACCGCTGTCTACGGTGTCTGTGTGTAAATAAATTTACATTTTGAAAGTGTTTCAATACAAAACTTTTTTGTTTGAATACAAAGCTAAAACTCTACTCTAGCACACTCTAATATTTTAAAAATATGTTTTCAAACTGTGTTATTAATTTTACGTTTACAGATTTTATACATGAAAAATTAATTTTTTTTTTTTTGTTCATTCGTATTTTATTGATGATCACAACTTTCACACACTTGAATACAGTTGAATAGAGGCATGATATTTATGCACTCTCCTTCTTCAGATTAAGCAAGCAATTCAACTGTTTCATTAGTGTGTATAATAAGTTCAAACACATACAATGTTAAGCCTGAACCAATATCTGTAGTCCTAGATATGCTGTTAAATTACTAATTACTATCAGAAAAACTAAAACATAGTATTGCATGTTCCGTATCAAACAATCAATATTTCATTGCATAATCATCTAACAGCATCTCCACTTAAAGAAACATTACGTACCCAGGAAATGTTCTGACGGGCTCATAGAGCAGTAGCAACGTAGGTTCGTAATAGCCATGCAAGAATTGTATGTCTAATATGTTATCAATCTTCTCATCTAGGTCCTTGAGTATTATTATGTATGAGGCCAGTGTTGGTGCCCTGTTCATAGTATGAGCTGCTTGCTGAAAGGGAATATTTGTCATAAAATCATTATTAGCACAATTATATCGTACTTTTGCCATCTAATTTCATAATTTCGCTACACTATCCTTTTGACAAAATGCAACGTTTAATTGAAAGAAGGTTTAAAAGCACAAATAATTTTCACATGTAAAACGGATTTTGTTATAGGATTTCTTGTTTAAATTTCAATGGCCTTGGTTTTAAGCCGTTGAATCCAAACTTCCAGAGATCATCAACGTACAGTGGTAGTCAAGTAGTATGTTTCATATTCAGATATGGCAAAAGCCACAGCATTGAAATATAGATATTAGCTATAAAAAATAGCAAAATACCCACGAATACTTTTCTAAATGTGGGAAAATGTAAATATAAACTAGGTAAAATTGAATAGTAAAAGTTGCTATTAAATGCAAGTTTAAATATCATATTTAAACTATGTAATGTTGTTCTTATTATGTTTTATTATTTAATAAAGAACTTAAGCACATGTGTTCGGTAACAAATCAGTTCATTGTGTGTCTGTCTTTATGCAGACCGCACTTAGCAATCCTTTTATTAAAAGGAGAACAAGTACCCTCACTAATACACTACAGTTCTATTTCTTGAAATTTCTTAAAGCAAAATCAAGGCAGCTATAAAGAGTATGTACTTATTAATACATGGCATTAAACAAAGGTGTCATTTAAGCTGCTAGGATCATCTCTTCGTCAATTACCAGTTTCTTACGTACATTTTTCTTTGTGTCAGAGAGGGGTTTGGCCTCAAGAGGATCCCCTTCTTCAGAGGTAATGTCCTTCCTAAACGGAAGGACTGCAAGTTTCTTCCCATACAACAACATCACAGCACATCGGAACTCAGGATCTACTCTGATCCATGGTATATGAGGATGAGTTGTCCAACCGCCCTAAAAAATTCAAAGTTCAGTGTAGCAATTTAAATAATTTTTGAAGTCGTCATGGGCTAAAGTACTCTAAAAAAGGCGGGTACCAATTTTTCTAATACGTACTTAACAAATGTTTACGATTGACTTCCACGGTGAAGGAATAACATCGTGTAATAAAAATCAAACCCGCAAAATTATAATTTACGTAATTACTGGTGGTAGGACCTCTTGTGAGTCCGCATGGGTAGGTACCACCACCCTGCCCATTTCTGTCGTGAAGCAGTAATGCGTTTCGGTTTGAAGGGTGGGGCAGCCGTTGTGACTATACTGAGACCTTAGAACTTATATCTCAAGGTGGGTGGCGCATTTACGTTGTAGATGTCTATGTGCTTCAGTAACCACTTAAAATCAGGTGGGCTGTGAGCTCGTCCACTCATCTAAGCAAAAAAAAGAGTAATAATAATAATACACTTCTGAATACTATTACTAGCTCAGCTCAGGCCACAACCAAGCTAAGCATCATAATGCCAGCTCAGACAACTTCTTCAAATTTAATTTTGGTTAAGAAAAAATTATACGAATATCAGTTCAAATCTGAGTATACATACCTTCATATCATCCTCTTCAAAATAATGCATACTCAATGTAACCAAGTTATTGGTCTGTGGGTCATATTGGAGTACAGATAATTTAGCCTCTTTGAATGAAACCAACAGGATATCTCGACCAGAACTTTGACAGCGGACAGAAGCTAAAGACATCACATTACCCCATAATGTATATGTGGCTAAACATTCCAACTTCATCTTCGGGGGAATCGGCTGACCGGCTGAAAAGGTATATAATAACATGAGAAAATGTATTTTTGAATTTTAGTCAGACCTTGAAGCTGACGATTACAAGGTGTTATTAATTCATGGCGACAGTAATTTGTGAACAGATGTTAATTAGGTATTGTATTGGAAAAATTTAAACCTGGAATTAGGGACACTGATATAGTAACATAGCTTGAAATTAGTAAACCAGGAGTCTATGATTTAAACACTGATTAGAAACAAATACTAAATATACAGTATATTTGCAGAGATATATTCTATTCTAGTTTTTAACAGAAAACAGTTAACAAAACAAACCTGCATTAATCTCTTTTGTGTGGCCTTCGGGCAGCAGCCTGAAGACCTTGATGATATTGGCACCGGCGGTGACCAGACAAACCTCGTCATTGTTAAAGAAATAACAGCTAACCGCGTGCTCTATACCTGTCGCTGGATGAGTCGTTCGACAAATCGAAAACATTGTTTTCTAAGCGTTCGATTTTGAGGTTATAAACTAAAACACTTTCAACACTAAATTCTGATATGTTTGCTTGAATCATTAATTTACAAACAGATAACAACAATCAAATATGGTCCTGATTTAAAAAAATGCTGTTCAGTAACTCTAATTTAATCTGAGAAAAACATTGTATCAAACATCGTCGCTTTGTTGATGTCAGTTCTGAAACTTGATTCCTTACTATTTGAACTTGTTTTGTATATTTTAAATTAAAAGAATACGTTTAATTTTAAAACAATAGTGTTTCGTGGTATAGATCCACGATGAACATTTGAATTGCTCGATATCGTTTTTATAAAACAAAAGAAGTTATTTGTGTGGTTTGAAAATTTAACTTGTTCCAGTTACCAGCTGTTTCCGAACGTTCCAAAATTGCAATCGGCCATAGATATTTTTGTTTGGTAAAGTTTTTCCTTATTAGGAAAGGCAAGGGGATCTGAGCCCATACAACCTTGTCTGTTCTATATAATTTCTAAAATATCGGCTATAGTTTTTTTTTTTGGTACAATTTTTCCTTGTTAGGAAAGGCAAGGGGATTCGGCCATAGATAGTTCTAATTACCAAAGAATTATAAGAGTGTATGTGAATTATCTATGGTAAGAAGGTCTTTTTGACGTAAACGTAAGGATCGAAGTTGTATGAAATTGTAGCTACCGTCTATTCCGACAAAGACCTTCGCGATATCAAGGCTCACAGCGAGAAGCTTTAGGACCTTGGCTCTCCAAAGCTTCAGCCCACCTGTGGGTAAGGTATAAAAGGTCTCCAGCTAAGCCACTGTGAAGGAAACAATACAACAGAGCCGGATACCGAGCTCAGTGGCAAAAATTTTGCCACGTTTCATCGTCTAAAGGATAAGACGTCCGGTGCATTCGTATGTAGCGATGCACCGGTATTCGAATCTCGCCGGCAGGTACCAATTCTTCCAATGAAATACGTACTTAAGAAATGTTCACGGTTGACTTCCACGGTGAAGGAATAAAATCGTGTAATAAAAATCAAACCCGTAAATTTGTAATTTCCATAATTACTGGTGGTGGGACGTCTTGAGTCCGCACGGGTAGGTAACCAATGCCCTACCTATTAGTCCAATGATGCATTTCGGTTTGAAGTGTGGGGCAGGCGTTGTACTGTACAAACTGATACCTTAGAATTCTTGTCTCAAGCTGGATGGCATTTACATTGTAGATGTCTATGGATCCGATAACCCCTTAACACCAGTTGGGCCGTGAGCTCGTCCACCCATCTAAGCATATTTTTTTAACAGGTACATATTTCAAAAACAACGTTTTCTTTAAATAGGTAGTTTATTAAGAACTAACATTTTAACATAAAAATCCATTTTGTTTCTATTCTAATAATCATAGGAATATTGTTTATATCATTCATTTACATCTCATCAGTCTTTGCCCAAAACATCTAAATCCCATCGCCTTTCCATTTTCACATTTTCATGTCCAAGAAGAATTGCCATTTAAAAAAAAATACCAAATTGAGAATTTACATAATTGAGAATTTTATTTGTAAGTTTATCTCTTTTATAAATAAAATTCGTTTCTTAATAATTAAAAATAATGCTGGAGTAATTAAAATAAATATTTGACGTATAATCCTATTTTTATTTGTATAAGTTTTGTGTTCTATCCATTGACATATTGCACAACTTCTTTGTATATAGACCTTTGTTTGAAAAGACCTTTGGATATGGTTTTGACTAAGTACTTTGATGATGATATAACCACATCATTAAAGTCATTGTAGACCCTCAAAAACATATATCAAATTTGGCAAAACTAATGCTATTTACTTGCTTAACACCAAGCTTTCTTATGCCATGGTACATCAACTATAGCCATGTTGCTTTCGAATAAGATTGATCTGTATATCAACAACATAAAGAAATCCTCAATTCCCAGTAGAATGAAAAGATAACATTAAGAACGTCAGCAATGGCGAGTTTCTTGTTAGCGTAGTACGAATCACGCCAATTTTTATAATCACACTGTACTATTTTGGTAACTAAGAGTTACAGATTAAACGCTCCCACTCAAATCAATCTGCAATTTAAGGTTTTTTTTTAAATGTAGCATCCTGGGACGTGAAATGTCTTCATTTATATTTAAGACCCATAACCTATATTTAATTCCCACTCCACTCAGCCGATCTACACATGTCGGCCAACAATTCATCAAACTCAACAACTGAATTCTCATACAGCTCCAAATCTTTAGACAAATCTTCGTTGGTTAGTTCTACGTCTTCTAAAACAGGCTCTAAGCTTTTGTTCGATTGTGTTAGCTCATCTGTCAACTTCAAGTGTGGCGCATTAAAGAAATCTTTGTAAAACTCGGCTAGTTCTCGTATAGGATGTGTGTCAGCAAAAGGGAACAATAACAGTTTTATTGGTGGTTCGTTTTCGTGACGGAATCCAGAGAATTTCTTTGGTGGCATCTCTAAAGAATTCGGACTCTTTGATGCTGCACTGTCATCTAATTCTTGTGTGCTCTTAGACATGATTTCCTTTTCTTTAACAGGAGATACAGGTAATTTTTCAGGTCTGTAGTGATCAGGAATAGGAATTTTCGTGTAGAATTCTTCAAATGTCCTCTTAACTAAGGTTTCATCCACAAAAGCGGCTAAGCGTAAGGGCTTGTCCAAATCGATGGGTCCTGAAGGTTTAGACTCTCTTTTTTCTTCTTTCTTCTTTTTTGATTCAAATATGACATGTTTCGGACTCAATTCAAAGTGATCACTCTTTAATAACAATGCTTTGTTATTGTCTGAACGGTTAGGAGTTATTGAAAAATTTGTACGGTACGTTACCGAGAAGACTAAAGCACCTAATGGTGTTTTTAAGAGGCCGGCTTGAATAGTTTTTACTGAATCACCGAGAGCTTTCAATTTTGCCTCACCACTGTAAACTCTGTAGAATATAGTGAATGATTCCAGTCTCTGTTTCCTGGACAAATGATATGCCGGTGTGATCCTTGTTATAGTTATAAGAGATTTTAACAATATGCCCATTCTGAAATACACTGTGTTCATTGCCTTCAATGATGTATCAAATTGGGTTTCGTCTAACTGAAGAGTCCAGAGTTCTAGTACCATTTCATCTCCATCTTCTGTTTGAACAGATATTTCTACATGTAATTGTGATTTTATCGTCTCCAGTACACGATCCGAAGGTAAAGCATTCTTAGTTGCCTGATTTACTTCAGAGGAATCTGGTATCTGTAAATTAAACCAATCAGTGTCTGACGTCTTTGGTTTACTGTTAGGTTCTATTTTAACTCCTTTTCTAGACTCAACTATAACTTGTACTCCTTTGTACGCTAAAAACTTTGTGAATTTCGTGAATTCATTTTTGTCAGTTATATTCGAAAATGCGACTTCAGGTGCCATTTTAGAGAATTGTTGTTGGGTTGATTTACTCCTCTTCGGCTATGCAGTTTTCCACCAGGTTTCTTAGATTGGGATTCTCCATTGCAGCTGCAATCCTCTCCTTGTCGTTGATCTGCTTATTGACTATAAAAAAACAAATAATCTATTAAAAACAAAATAAATGTAATTACTATTATGGTTTAATGAATAAGGTGAGCACCATATTTACAATTCTTATATTCCAAGATTCTCTACAACTTTTTTACTTTTTTACCTCTACATTAAATTTGTAAAGTCGTATTTTCTTTTTCAAGTATGGCAACCAATGCGAAAATAAAATAATAATATAATAATTAATATTGGCATAGATAGTTTTTTTTAACATTGGATCAGCAGAGATGTTCTGGTCTACCTGAATTTAAGTGGAAAGGATAGTGATAGGGCTGTGTCCACATCTCTGCTTTTAAACACCTACTTGTATGACACTATTTGGAAATATTTATGAGTTTACTAACCCTAATCAATAATGTTTTGGCACAAAAGTTAATAAACATGTTGTATGTTTACAAACTATTATCACAATGTTGTTTCAAATCTGACCTTCACAAACTGTGTCATGGTCTTTGAACCCAAAATTTTTATTTATTTTTTTCTTAAATGTTCTTAAACTATGCTGTGATTAATAAGATGGCAAACAATGTGTTTCAATGAAGTTTATATATATTATACGGTAGACTAAATGTATATATATTGATCGTCATTTTATTTAATCACATGTGCCTAATTTGCATAAAGTAGAAGTCAGAATTTTATATTATCACAGCTGTCACATTTTTCAAACCAGTATGCATGAACGTTTTGTTTACCCTATATGGCGGTATTTAACCATGCAGGTTCAGTTTTCTATCTGTTGCTGGAAAACTCCAAAGTTCTAGTTAAAATTGGAAAACTCATAAACGAGTCGACTATTATCAAAGCCGGCAATCTGACTTTTGGACAATTATTGGTAAATCAGAAAACCGAATTATTGACTTTGTATTCCATTGGCAGTCACAAAACTCTTCGGAACGACATCTTAGATAAATAACAGGTTAACTATTAACCTTTATTTAATGCAGGTTTTGAACCGTATTCTTTGAAGGAGACGATTACATTCAAATCAATCTGTATTGACATATCAATAACAGTTTTTTGTCCAAATGCACAGATTGCCACCTTTGATAATAGACGACTCAAACAACAACTTTGTGACTGACGTGACAGTGTAGTAGTCATCCCTCTGATTATTAAGACGCATTATGATTATATTATAGCCAAACACTACTAATTACAACAGGACGAATATTATTGCTGTTTCTAGACTTTAATAAGCTATATCAGTCAATTCATTTGTCTGGTGTTTTCCAAATAATTTTTTTATTAGTTTACCACCATTAAGCCCCAAGGTTTTACTAATGCAACTATTACTGCAAATCAACATTTAACTCTCCAAGTAGAATACAGACAAACTGTCTCACCATTAACCTGATCAAACTATTGTGGGTCATTGAGGAATGAAGCTTATTTTTTGTTTTGTTATTTCTAAAACTCAAAGTACGGAAGAAATTTCTAACCTCACTGTAAATAAGCTTTTCAAGAGAGTTGTGTGGTGAGTGGGTAATCTTTACTCTAAGACACATTCTTCATTGTGGAATATTTTGTGGTGAGATAGTGGTGCATGTTGGATCGCCAGTTATCGTGAGTGAACTACGATAACTGTAACTGTGGTTTTAAAAATGTTTCAAAAACAAGGTAAGTTCTTGATTTTTAATAAAATTTATGAATGCATTTGAAATATTATGCATTTTTAGAGTCATACATCTTTTATAGTACCGTAGATATAATATATCGAAAATACTTCGTTCACACAAGTTACCAGTGAATAATTTAGAAGAAAATAGCTGCAGGATCGATCACTTCATACAGATTCAGAAGAATCATCTCAATACAAATGTTTTGATGATTGTGACAATGGGAATAAACAAGAAAAAGTTGTAGTAGAAACTGGCAGAAATTTATTCTATGAAAAAAAGCATTTTTTTGCATTTGAATATTTTAATATTCTCAATTTGTTCAAAAGTTATGAATTTTCAATCAATGTCTGCATTTTCAGGAGGTGGGTATGTTTATGATGTAAAATAAAATACTTGTTTTTTAAAACCTCATTGTGTGCTCTTCGAGTATAAGTGTTCAAGAGTTTTCAGGAATTTAATCAGATTTTATATTACAGATTACATTTTCGAATCAGGTCTTCAACAACCCATGATAACCTGACAAGGCACCGGAAAAAGTGATAGCCTGATTGGGTTAATTTATTGCATACATTATATTGGTAAATTATTTCGCTATGTCTTCATTAAATATATTGCAATAAATACTTATTTTCATTGCTATTCAATAATCATAATGATGATTTTTTTCCACAAAAAAAATGTTGTGTAATGCATTTTAGATCTAATGATAACATTTTCTGAATTAACAAAAATTCACCGCTTACTTTCATCTTCAGTCGTATGTGCCCCTTTCTTAATAAAAATGTCCAATTTCACAGGATGGTGGATAGACCTTAATATTTTAATACGAATACAAAGTCCGATTAGTGTGGCCAGCGAACAATGGGGCACTGTTGGATTATACTCCACACGTAAAACGGGCACTTTATCTGCAGTTGGTTCCTTCACAAAGATTCCTTCCTCGTACACGACCTTCAAGTCTTCAAGCGTATTTGGCTTTTCGGGGTCTCGAATTGTCCTCAAATAGTCTAAAACACACCACAGCACACATTAAACACGCAAATAACACAAAAAGTTCGTGCAAAACCACAAATTTATGTTGAAAACAAACCATATATTGTCTCTCTCAACTCATTCTCGTCTTTGTAGCCGAGCTCTTGTAATGTAGCACTTTTGTCCATATATGCGGGCTTAGCGACCTCCACTGGCTGTTTTGAAGAGTTGTTAAGAGATAGTTTGGAGAAAAATGATATCATATTATCGTTCAAATTAAAATTATCACGGGTCACGATTAAATGTCGGACATATTTATTTTTTGACAATTGTAATTGCTGACCTCCGTTTTTTTTTCATTTGTAACTGCTATTGTGGCAATACTTTTAAGCCCATCTTAATTAAAATTTCTTGTCGTCTTCAATAATTTTCTACAGAAGTTACTGTTAGTGTTGACAATTTATAGAATTTAAAGTAATACGATAATGCAAGAAACTTTGTCCATTACTTTAGTTAAATGTTCTAATTACTTGGCGCTCTTATAATTTTCAAAAAGTTTAAGAAGCTACGATCACGTTCTTGAAATGGTTTTTTAATTCTTGGAACGTCAATGGAATATGTTAAGCACTTAACACCTGGTGAGACGTAAACTCTTTCAATCGTGTAAACAGTAAAAAAAAAAGTTTGTAAAGTCGACTTACGGACGATTGTTATACGTGATAACGTCAGTAGCAGAACTGTTTGAACTGTCAGCTCTGACGTCACGCGAGAAGCAGACAGCATGTGTCACAAAGTCACAAGCCAACGCTTGGGCCGATCATGCCTCTCTATCGTTAGTTCCGCGCTCTCACTTTACACGCTCAGACTCAGCGGAACGTGACACTTTTTCATGCGTGCCGCCGGCGTTCATTGATTTTGACGTTAACACGTCCAAAAACCATCAATAATTGATGTAGACAAAGCTTTAATGACTGAAACTTCAAGCTGGTGGCTTATTCATGACGCAATCCCAAAAGGAATGGATACCTCAAATGAGGCTACAGTATACAAAAAAATAGGCCTTTTATTTTTATCTACATCCAAACAACCTTGAATCAAAATTAAAAGCCTGCATTCACCACTATATTGTCGCTAAATAACTACAATGCATTTAATTTTTATTTCATTACCTACTTAACGGTGTATCTTTTGCATAATTGAATAAAAAAAGTTTATTATCTGACGTGAAACACAGTTTTCTATTTAATAAAAAAAATATTCGTATTTTTTCATAGCCAGTGTATTCCGTCGTGCGGAAGCGTCGATATTATCAAGTAATTGACAGTATTAGAAGATCTCAGGTACTTTACCATCAACATGTGATGATTCTATTTTGCATATTTTTATTAGCATAACTTATATCTAACTAACTGAATCTTTAATAAGGAGTAATTTTAACCGAATTAAGATTAACCTTGATAATTAATTAAAACCTTGACATCAAATGTTACGACTATTTATAAATTAGAGTTCTTAAAAAATATACTACCTACAATATATTGTAATAAAAAAATAGCATTTTTTTACTTTTAGTTTCTACGATTTAGTTTGGCTTACTCTTGAAGTGTTTGTTTAGTTTTTAAATTTATATTTATACTAGCTGACCCGGCAAACGTTGTGTTGCCTTAAATAAGATTTCTAGGGAAATTCTAGTGTAGAAAAAAAAACCTCATTCAACCACATAATATCTCATAATAACAAAAGATAATTATTCAAAAAATAAAAATAAAAAAGAAATGTTTGGGCTGGACAACCCTTAAAACTAAAGGCTTCGTCAAACAGAACGCGTCGTACTTAACGTCGCGCTCTTTTCATGTCACACAAATTGACTACATAGATGAGCCCAACGCTCCTTGACGCAACGCATTCGCCAAATCATAGCGCCTTTCGGTAGCAGTGTGAAAATTTAAAAGTATTAAGAAATCGAGTGATTCAGATGTGGCATTGTATAAGCATGGATATTTTCTAACTATTTATATCATTTTTTCGGGCATTATCTAGTATTTTAATACACATTCACTCCGACGCTAAAATAAAATTTGTAAAAAATTACAACGCCTGACGTCAAAGCGTCCAACGCCACGACAAAGTGCTGCGTACTTATAGTGCTGGGGCTCTGTTTGACGGTATGTTACTATAGTAGTACAACACATCTCGGCGTCATAGCGCGGCGTCAGTTTAGCGCTCTGACGCGCGCTAATTACGCGTTCTGTTTGACGAAGGCTTTAGGGGTATGAAAAATAGATGTAGCCGATTCTCAGACCTACTGAACATACTACATATTGATACACAAATAAAACCAAAAAAACATGGCTGAAAAATGTATAGTGAGTAAGAAAGGAGACCGGCTTCGTCCTCATCCCTACTACGTGATGTTTGCTGGATGAGTGGTGACACCTAGCGGGGATAACTGGTCGATTGATTGTTGATCAGTAGTCGACCGGCGAGGGCAGGATATCAAATTGAATTTAAAAGAAAGTCATAATTAAAGGAACTTGAAATTATAAAACTCTGAATAAGAATTTATCGTACTACAATTATTTGATTGCAATCTTGCAACCTTATTGCGGTTGCACCTCTGTGCATAGAATAAAAAAAATTTAAATCGCGATGGAAAAATAGAGGTTGATCGTATAAGAGTGTAATATTGAGAGTAATATGAAATTTTATATTTTAAGTCATGACAAAATAAAAACAAAATTCTTGCAAAAAAAATTAAAGTTTTTAATTAACAAATAAAAAATAAGGGTTGGTCGTAGAGGGGTGAAAAGTTAGGGTTGTATCTATTTTTGTGTGCTGTATCATAAAAAAATAAAAACAAAAAAAATTGTCTAAAAAATAAATAAATAAATTTAGAGGTTACCCTTAACATTTAGGGGGATGAAAAATAGATGTCCGATTCTCCACCCTGGCCGATAGGCACGCTAAGATTCACAAAAATCGGTCGAGCCGTTTCGGAGGAGTTCAATCACGCACACCGTGACACGAGAATTTTATATATTAGATTGATGAGGTCTGCGCTCAGCACCAACTCTGATCCAAACTACTGGGCACATTCAGCTCGAACTTCAATACCGTTTTGGTAGTCGAGGCAGACGAGTCCACAAAGAGTTGGACGAGTGAACTAACCAATAGACACAGCCCTCTGAGTTTCTCGCCGGATCTTCTCAATGAGTGGCAATTCCGATCCGGTGGTATTCTGCGAATCTAAGGTAGACACAGCTCTTGCTAGGACTAGTGTTAACAAATTCTCTCAGGTTCAGCCCGTGAGCTCACCTATCTGTCCGCGTGTAGCTGGAAAGCCCCCTAGACTACAAGGGAATAGATAGGGAAAAAAACCTGAAATGACGGTTCGTGAATACCAAACAGAACCAAAAAGCTCTCAGACCCTACTCTCGAGCTCATGGAAGAACTTCACGGAATGGTTTTGCAGTTTTCAGAATCATCATTATCCTGCCCTTCTCCCAGTTACCTGGGGTCGGCGCAACATTGTTTCTCCTTGCATACTCTTCTATCATATATCATTTCTTCGCTCACTCCTCTCTTACCCATATCGTCTTTCACGCAATTCATCAATTTCTTCTTAGGTCTACCTCTTCTTCTATATCCTTCCACATTCATAGTTAACGTTTTCTTACCAACCTCATTTTCATTTCGTCTCATCACATGTCCATACCATCCCAAACGCGCACTTCTCAGCTTCTCTGTCACAGGTGCCACTTTCAGACTTCCTCTAACATATTCATTCCGTATTCTATCCATTCCCGTTACTCCACACATCCATCGCAACATTCGCATCTTTGTTGCATGCAATCGCCTTTCATCGCAGTTTTCAGAATATTTGTTTAAATATCGGCAGGTTATCAGCTAGATCTCAAAGTACGTAGCAAAAAAGATCTCTGGATCTCTGGATGTGTGTGTATCACTGTGGATGAACGCAGCGGTTCTAGGTAGTATGGATGAACTCTACTCTGATGGCTGGTGGTGAGATAGTAAAAAAGAGATGAGGGGTTTATATTCTATCTTCTGTTATAACTACTGAACCATGCATCCGATTGACTTGAAACTTGGTATCCATGTAGAATATACATGTACTTAATGGATGGGCTATATTTATATGAGTGTTGGACTCACTAATAATAATGACAATAAATAATAATGTTAATTTTAAATGCCCAGCAAAGCGGACGAGTACGGTTAGTCTCCAATAATTCCTCAAATCACTCCCCGTGGATACAGTACAAAATACAGAGAGACCCCAAGTACATTCGCAGAGCCAGAGGTTCCAAACGATCCGTGAGAATGGGCTTATCGACAATCCGAACGGCCCTCTTCTGTATATAGAGTCAAATGGAAGTAACTGGTATTTGGGAGCCACAGCCCAGGCGTGGGAGCAATACTCCAAGCGAGGCTGGACTTATATACTGTATATGGGTTTATATATAATATATAAATAATAAGCACCTAGACAAAGAGCAAACAAACCTGTTTATCACATAGTATTCGCCCCGGATCGAAATCAACCCACGACCTTCGGCGCAACAGTCAGGAGCGTTTACTACTGCACCAACAAGCCAGTCGTAAGTCATAAAAGTTATTAAAACACAGCAAAGCTCAACTAGTCTTTACTAATATTACCTAGTCAGGTCATAAGTATTGTCACACAGTAAAAACTTTTCTTTTAGAATGCTGGCCACAAAAAAGTTTATTGAATTCGAATTTCGAATTGTTCATAAAAATAAAAATGTATAACTTTTAGAATTTTACTCATTTTTAAATATGGAGTGGACGCTTAAAGAAGACCGTGTTGCAGTTATTGCGTTGCATCGTTGCGGTTACGCGCCAATTCAAATTTTTAACATACTGAAAAATTTGAATATAACCAAAAGATTCGTTTATCGTACCATCAAACGATACAATGAAGACTCTAGTGTAGATGACAGGTCAAGAAGTGGTCGCCCTCGGTCTGTTAGGACTCCAGCAGTGATAAAAGCTGTGAAGGCGCGAATTCAAAGAAATCCCAAACGTAAGCAGAAACTGTTGGCCCTTCAGATGGGGTTAAGCAGAACCACGGTGAAAAGGGTGTTAAATGAAGACTTAGGGCTTCGGGCATATCGAAGAAAAACAGGACATCGTTTGAATGCTCGTCTAATGGACCTGAGACTGAAGAGATGCCGCGCTTTGTTGAAGCGGTACGCGGGAAAAAAATATCGGGAAATTCTTTTTTCGGATGAAAAAATTTTTACCGTAGAAGAGAGCTACAACAAACAAAATGATAAGGTGTACGCACACAGTAGTGAAGAAGCGAGCAACCG